GTGTGTGTGTGTGTGTGTGTGTGTGTGTGTGTGTGTGTGTGTGTGTGCCTTTGAGGGACTGGGGACTGACAATATAATGTGAATAGCAGTCTTAACGCTGTAGCACATAATGATTTCACAGCTCTCGGGTCGGCTGTGCGGCTTTGCAGCCTCCTTGTTGCAACTCGTCTCATTATAGAAGTGTGTGCGTGTTGTTGTGAATAAGAGAGGGAACACAGCCACCCTTCAGTTCCCAGCCCACAGGGACTCGTGGGCCGGGCATAATACTGATTATGTACTGTGGCTGAAAGCACCGCACGGATTCAGCAGAGATCATAATCCCATTATGACAAGACGCAGTAAACTAACTGTGTGCGTGACTTTTGTCAGGTGAGCGTTTGCTTGTGTGTGCATGCCCTAGACTGTGTATAGAAGAAGGGGACATAGTCTTCGCGACGTCACACAATGGTTTGTGGCGTGAACAGAAGTGATAATATTTGAACGTTGGATTAATGCTGTTGCAAGGTAGCCGCGCCCAAAAGCATACTCGTCTTTATGGTCTGTTTGAGTCTAAATGGACGATAGTTTACTAAATGAACATCATGCTGTATTGAAGAAGACTTGAAACTAGAGATTGAGACCATAAACTCATGTTTACAATGTTTACTGAGGGAATAAATCAAGAGAGAAGTAGAGTCATTTTATCATAGACTTCTATACAATTAGAGGAGTCGCCCCCTGATGGCCACTAGAGACGATGCTAATTTTGAGACACTATCGCACTGGCTTCCCTCCTCAGAACCAGAGCCTCCTGGTGCATACCATATATTACAAATTGTTACACCCGTTCATTAAAGACAACTGTTGCTGTAGATCCAGCTAACTTGAAAATGCTCTCGTTTTCTTTGTCCCACAGGTGTCGGCTTGGGGCGGTTATGTGTTCATCATCAACCTTATTCCCCTTCATGTATTTGTCCTGCTTCTTATGCAGCGCTTCAGTTGGAGGGTCTACATAGGTGAGATGCAGTGCACACACACACACACACACACACCTTTTATATGGACATGAATTCAAGGACATAAACAGAAGACTTGAGGGGGGGGGGGGACAACAATTCTGCTCATTTGACATTCAGTGTAGCACATCCAGGATAAACAGCCAACTTAAAGGGCAGCAGCTCCACACACACACACACACACAACCACACACACACACTGTGCGTGCAGAGAAAAATACACACCGTCATGCAGGGTGCACTGACAACAGAGTAGCTTGTTATTCTTTGTCATGTATGCACTGTACATACACTTACTGGTAATGAATGTCAATATACCAGCCGCCGATGTGTTTGTAATGAGTCAGGTTTACACAAACCGCCCAGGGGAGGAAAAGAGAGGTGAAGGGATAGAAGTAAGAGCGATGGAGAGACGGAAATGCGGGAAGCAAAAAAAAGATTAAAGCTGTATTTCCTTCAAAGAGCTTGCCTCGTCGCACACTCTGAACTCGCCTTCACCGATCACAAATGTAGTCCTGGCCCAGGGCTCACCGCTCCCCACTGATGCTGCAACACCAAACTATTGTTTCAGATCCAAAACGATAACCGCACACGTGCTGTACCAGATCATAATAACGTGGAAATAACGACGCATCGAGGCAGTAAAAAGTCCACAACCGGGCGAGGTGAGGTTGGCAAGAAAGCTGTGAGATGTGGAAGCAAAGGACTGCTAGAACTTCGGTACAGAGGAGGAAGTCGAGCGAGGGAGGTGAGACGGGCGACCCCGTGGATTCTTCGTCCTCAAATAGGATTATTGGCGAAATGAATAATTTAGCATCGAGACGACTTTTCCCATCTCTCCCCCTGCCTCCTTTCTGAAGACCAGCACAGCGCACTCTGCCTATAGCGACACAGTAATTGAGTTAGTTCAAAGTTGTAATGGCTCACCGCTCTCCGTGATGCATACCTCGGCCTGTGATCCGGAGTCCGGTCCGTGACCCGCTGTCACACAACGGCCCTCTCTTGCTCAATCTTCCCCCGTCTAATAGAGCACAAATACCGTAATGAAATCCAACTGGAATTTCATTATCTCACCAGCAGCATAGAAAACATGGAATAGAAACTCCTCTGATGGATACGTCTGCTCTCTAATGGGCCTCAGCTCGGCTGCTGGTTCCCGGCACCAGCTCGGGTCGTCGCATCGTTCAGCGTCAAGATCACAGGTGCCATGTGCCGCCTGCTGGGACACTTTAACAGGGTGACTCGGGCTGGCAGTAGCAGGAGAAAAAGAATTAGATTAGATCTGATGAGTGGTTATTATTTTATTTTTGTTAAGTGTAGTTTGGATGTAACCGAACATGTAGACATCCTCAAAGCTACTGGCCATACGGCATAGGCCGGATTCCTCACAGTAACTTGAAGTAACTGCTTAAATTACACACATGACCAGTTCTGGATTATGCCAGGTTTTAGGCATCTTTAACTTTTTACCTACAAATCAAAGTGGAGTAGCCAGAAGGTGAATGACCATCAGCTGCTTTGGGGAGCTAGGGTAACAGTTTTATAGAAAAAAAAAAGTACTGTGATTTTTACAACCCAATGTGTGGCTGAAACTAGTCCTCAACTATGAAACTACACATTTGTAAAACATTGTAAAACGCTTTACAGAGATTTCAGCTGCAACTCCTTGATCAGCTGCAGCAATATCTAAGTGGCCTTCCCAAAGAAAATGCCTGTTATGTTCTCACAGAGTCACGGAGCTGAAGTGTTCATTCAGAGCAGAAGAAATGTCTAAAGTACCGGTGAAATGTAACCAAGTACATCCACTCAAGTACTGTGCTTAAAAATAATTCATATTTAATTCACTACAATTCAGAGGGACAAGATTGGCCAACTATAGGTTGCTTATTTTTCAGAAAAAGATTTACCCATAAAACCAATGAAAGGTTTCTAAAACATGATGATAGTTTGAATCGGCTCCACCTCGACCAATTACAATACTCGCTGCCACTGCAAATCTATCTGACACAGTGTCATCCTTTTCCAACCCTAACCCGCTCCAACAGCCCTAATAATGAAATAATGGAAAATAATGGAAGGAAATAAGTGATTGAGTCAGAAACAGAGGAACCTTGGATCTGCTGCTTTTAAATGTAAAAACCGGTCTGCTCTGTGGGGCTGAATTCTTTCTGAAGGACTGCGGGGTCTGGTTGGTGAGCAGAATATTTGAGATAAATATTTCCCACCCTCTGTTCCCTCCACACGTGTCAAGGCAATGAGATCAATATCGCTTGAAAGTCTGTGTCGTTCCAACAGAACAGCAGGCTGTTTTCAACAAGCACAAAGACATCCACCTTCTGGTGTAGCACCAATAATAATCACGTCTACTTGTGAAGAGAATTGAGGTTTGGTTCTATGCCCAGACAAAAATTGGGGAGGATTTTTTATTTATTTATTTTCCTCCACACACGATTCTCTTCAGTGAGTTTATCTAAAGCCCAGCTACGGATGAACAGCAAAGAGCGGAGTCTTGCTCTTATTTCAGAGTGACGAACACATCCTCCATCCCGTGGCTCAACGTGGATTGATAATTGCCTTTAATGTTCTGCTTTAACACATTAGTTATTTAAAGGTAACCTGTAACAGCAATTCACCGTCAAATTTAAGAAAAAAATCAGCTTGAGGCCCAAAAGCACTGAAAGCGTCTAGAGCGCAAATTTGAAGTAGACCCGTTGTTTTACATGGTTGAATATTCAGCGCGTGTAAAACAGCTTTTGACGCCTCTGCTCTGATTGTGGAGCGTCGAGGAGGACCCAGCAACCAAAGCCTTATTGTCTTTATCTTTGCAGCTGCAGCAGTTTAGAGACCGCTAAAGGAATAGATGGGTAAGGATTAATCCCCAGAGGACCATATCTTATGAACAACTCCAAAAGAGTGATACCTCTTCCATTTAGTGGATGTGACATATTTTTCTCGTAAGCCAATCGGAGCACACTGGGCTTTCCCGGGAGGGGGTCTTAAAGAGAAAGGCGCTAAAACGGAGCGTTTCAGACCAGAGTGAGTAGAGGTATATTCAGACAGACCGTAGGGTTAATAGTCATTAAAGCATGTGAACATGTTCTAGTAGGAACCCGTAAATGAGCTTGATAAGACCCCTTTAACGAAGCAGTGCAGACCTACAGACTGCTTCAAGTTGTTATGAACACCGTAAGTGCAGCGTGTAGACACACAGGTGGTCAGAGTCAATAAAAATATAGCAATGTTCTATTTATGTACGTCTCTTGCCTGTAATACGACTCTGCAGCTCGTCCGAGACAACTAACCTTGTTATGTCAGTGGCTGTGCTTGTCTGGAGGCCTTTGTTACTGGAGCCGTCTTTGTCTTCCTCCTTTGAAACAGTTTTCAGGTGTCGCAGCGAGCCCGTTATCTGGTTGTGCTGCTAACTATAAAGTGTGCAAATCGTTTGAACTCTGACGTTTGAAGTCTGAAGTCGGCTCTTAGACGGTCACGATTTAGGCTCAGAATGCATTTTGCTCCGTGTGTACTGCATCAAGGAATTTGTGAGGTTGTGTATGGGGGGAGGGGTCCTAGAATCACTGACACTGCATGTGTGCATTGTTCTCTTCCTTATTTCATCTTTTGTAGTGTGTGTGTGTCTGTCTGTCTGTCTGTCTGTCTATATATGTGTGTATGTATATATGTATGTGTATATGTGTATATATAAATTCATTCACTCACTCACTCATATGCCTGAGTGAATTTGAGGCAATACATGCTCTGCAGAAACATATTACTGTTGTGCAGTGCCTTTTGGGAGTATTTAGAAGAATTCATTTCTCACAGAGAATTTTAGAAAGCAACTTTTGACGTTGCGTTGCTGTACACGAAAGCTTCATGGAAAAAAAAACCCACCTGACATAAAAACATAGGCTCGATGCCTCGGATGGTCGATCTTTAGGCTCGGCTCGGGACGGTCCCATAAGTAAGTGGTGGCTTCTCTTTAACTGCTTCTTTCTCCCTCCAGCCTACAGCACCTTCTACATCATCGGCCTGGTCTTGTCCATGCAGATCCCCTTCGTAGGCTTTCAGCCAATCAGGACCAGTGAACACATGGCCGCAGCAGGTCAGTAACCTGTGGTCTGGGTGGAAAGTGCCAATGATTTGTGTTTTACTGCAGGCCTATGGACTAAATCTTAATTTATGGAGCCGAGTGCAAAAGCTACTTATAACCTGTACCACTCTCACACATGAAAGTATAGTATGGCCAGAGTGGACAGGAGGAACATTTCCAGCATCCAAAAACCCTTTCAATGCACACACGGGCATGTCGGTGTTGTTTTAAGACGTGAACCTGTCCCTTCTAGTAGCAATGCTTTTTTTAAATTGTCCAGTGGAGCTCGTATAGATATCCATATCAATCCATAAATGCAATGAGTTTGTGATGATGATGAGTTAATCCTGGACCGTTCATTCTCATTACATCAGTGCCCACGGCAGCTTGACAGTGCCAGTGTTGCTGTGGAGGACAATGATAGTGAAGTAGACATAAAGTCAAAGTGCCGACTCAGATATTGCCAGCAGAGAAGCCTTAAATCATGCAGACATGCACAATACCGAGACATCTATTGTTGTTAATACTCATTTCTTTATGAAACCTAATGGGTTCAAATGAGAAGCATGCTGAAAAGGGCTCTGATAGATAACTGATAACTATATTGACTGCTTGTACCATGATTATATTTCAAGTCGTCTTTGTGCCGTGTCTCTGCAGGGGTGTTTGTGCTGCTTCAGGTCTACGCCTTCCTGCAGTACCTGAAGGACAGACTGACCAAGCAGGAGTTCCAGACCCTGTTCTTCCTGGGAGTGTCTCTGGCTGCTGGAGTGGTGTTCCTCTCCGTCATCTATCTGACGTACACAGGTCGGTTCACGTCGTCTCCCAGAAAGTGAAGCAACCCCAGTTTTTGCTTTTTCCTATTTCGCTCCGTCCAGCGGTTCTCGATACAGAGCTGGATCTGCACACCACACCGTTGCTGTGCTCACAGTAAAGCTGACTGGTCCCCCGGTTCCACGTTCAATGGAGTCTGAGAATGTGCCGCGCAAACGTAATGACTAATATGGATTTACATTTTCAGTTTGTTGCAAAGGGAAGAAAGAAACAAAGCTGTGTACACAACAGCTTTACTCTGTGTTGTACATCATATTGTTGGTTTGATTCTTTTGCATTGACTGGTCCTACTTCAAAAACAACTGCTCGAGTCGCCTGTTTACATAGCGTTTTACATACAGGTGCAGTCCCCGTCCAAAACGTGCCTGTTCGGATGCTTGGCCCATTGGTTCCTGAGCAGCACACCTGCCGTGACATTGTTGCGTCACAAACCCAAGTTTGGCTACTCGTGGTCAGAAAACACCAGTGAAATACACTAAACACACAAATCATTTCCAGACGGGCATATTTGTCGCCGACTTTGACAAAACCAGAGCAGTCCGCTGCTGCTGCACGGAGGCTGTTTGCTCGTTTATTCAAAGTCTATTATTATTGAACGCGTTGCGTGCACCAAATTCGGACAGTGCACGTCCTCGTGCTCGGACGAACGGCTCTCGAGATATGTGAAGTACACGCACATGCACACAGACGGAGTTCTTTTAAAACCGAGTGAAGGGTTAAAAGAATGGCGTGTCAGACTAAGACTGAGGGGTTGCATATTAACAGTAACAGTTGTTCTGATTGTGCAGTTGGTTGAGAGTTAATGTTTTAAACAGACGTTGAACCATTCATAAAAAAGCTCTTTTTATAGAGATACAGTAATAGGCCTGCATTATACTGATGAGCTACAATCAATACCTAAACACCTGGGCACTGTAGTTTTGTTTTTTTTATCATAAGTTATCCTGCGGTTGTTGAATAAGTGTATTTCTGGGGACTATTTTCAGCGGTGGATTAATGAATATTTCAGGCAGCAGGATGATGTATGCGAGATTGAGTCGAGAGACTACAGTGTGTGTTCATGGTAATGAAGGAGCATGTCGGCCAGTGCAACAGTGTGGCTCACTGATGTGTTTTTAATAGTATGCGGACAACAAAGGAGCCCCATGTCACAGAGGAAGATGTATCATTCTTTGATACACACACACAAACACACACAGTGTGCTGACAGTAAGAACATCAGCAGGCTTATCCTTTTAAGAAGCCAACATCATACATGTATTATCCGTGTGTGTTATACGACCACCTGCTAGTGGTGATTCATCATTGCACACACCGAGCCACGCTGACAGCAGGTCGGCCGCCGGAGAGAGTTCATTACGGCTCATCACGTGCGTTAGAGAGTCGCCATGTGATCGATACATGCAGGAGGAATGTACACAGACCGCTGTGTGTGTGGGCCGGTTAGACGCCTGCTTGTTTAGATGGACTGTGAGTGTATTCTAACCGTATGGTTTCTGTGTGTGTGTGTTTCACCCTCAGGGTACATCGCTCCGTGGAGTGGGCGCTTCTACTCCCTCTGGGACACTGGGTAAGTCCTCCCAGCTGATGTCTTGTAGCTCTGCACTGGACACAGAGCCTTAGAGCAGAACTGATGATAATTAGATTTGAATCGTGCACGGTAGCACGTTTGCTTATAAATCTGTTGAACTGTACGAGACAGGAGGTGGGAGTGAGTTTCTTCAAAGATTTTTTCCAGCTTGTCTACTGGTTGATTTATTCCAACTTAAGTCCAACTTTTGACTTAGTCCACCCGTTTAATAAACACATGCTCGGGATAATGATTTAGAAAGCTGTGACCTATTTCTACCTTTAATTGTTTTAAAGACGAATCAAATGCATACCAAGTACACCAAGAGGACTGCACTAAATATTCTCATGGTCACGGAGTCCGTCAGCCCCGTCATAACATAATGAACTAGATTCTTGTAAAATGCTCCGTTCTCCCATTCCCTTACAGAAAAGTCCGACTGCAGCATCAGCTGTAAAACCCTAAAACTCTCACTGAGTGCATGTGAGCGTATATCTGTGTGTTGGGTGCACACGCCAGAGTATTTGTTTTTAAAGGGAGTTGCTGCAGTGCAGTAAACGTAATGAGGTGATAATCGGACCCAAGATAACGGGCATCGGCCAAACTACATTCCTCTCCCACTTTCAATGAGAGGGGTTCATTTTAGAGAGAGTGGAATACAACCAACATTATATTATTTATCTTAAAGATAAGGGTTGTTTTACACTAACGATACATTCACACAGCAATACTGTCGTTATAAAGACCTTTACCGTACTCTTTCTATGGCGTCTGACTTTTGTCTGTCTTCCACGTCATCCACAGCTATGCTAAGATCCACATACCCATCATAGCATCCGTCTCTGAGCACCAGCCCACCACCTGGGTGTCCTTCTTCTTCGACCTTCACATCCTCGTCTGCACCTTCCCAGCAGGCCTCTGGTTCTGCATTAAGAACATCAACGACGAGCGCGTCTTCGGTAAGAGCCGAGTCCTTTACATACAATCAGACTGTGACGCAGCATTGGAGGAGTGATGTATAAGGCGTCATTAGTTGAGTGTTTGATGGAGTTATTGTGGTGGAGATGGAGACAATAAACTTTAGAGTACCATCACTATCAATAACAGTGACATTGTAACGTTGTAAATCTTACTTTAATAACATTGCTGTATATTTTATATTTGATCATGGAAGTTCATTCTTGGCCTTGCAAACCGTACAGCAGATGGAACTTATTCCAAATATGGTAACTTCCGTTCACTGGTTGCAAAAAAAATATTGCGTCGGCGAAATCGCCGGCAGTCCACAACCCAATGGGTGACGTCACAATGACTACGTCCACTTCTTAAGTACAGTCTACGGCTTTAGCAACATGCCAGGCTGTCGTTTTAATGACTGCTAACAAAGGACTGGACTAACCTGCTGACCTGCTAGATGCTCCATCCCTCACTCTGGATATTAGCACGTGTTCAATAATCTTGATCCCAACATAATATCAAAGTTAATATGAACAGCTGGTAAAATAACAACGTGACAACATACATTGATTGCTGTGGTTATGAAATAAGTGTGTGTTAAACATCAGGCAGTGGAGAGAGTCCAGTTCTCAGGCTTCATCACACTAGTCCCCTGGTTAAGGCTGTCCCTTATAACGGGATATGTGCTTTATAACAGCACATCTTATATCATTTATTTTAGCATATTTTAAAAAAAAAGTTAAAAGGCCGCATTTGTGTGTATTGTTTGAGCTGTTTATTTTTATTTTATGAAAATGTTCCACTTTTAGTATCTATATTGCCCTCAAAAAGTCGTTCAGTTGAGTTGTGACAAAAAGTAGAAGTTGTTGGAAAATCACAATGATTTCCTGAAACAGTTTAAATGGAGCGTATGAGCATGGAATAACGAGCAGCAGCTATTTGAGCAGCAACTCCAACCCATCTGGGTCAGAGTTCTGATTAGGTGTACTCTTCTCTCTGCTGGTACATTTTCTGCTTTGAGCCTGCTTCCACATGCTACTGAGATCGACCCGAAGTGGCGGCATACACGGGGAAAAGGCATGCATGAATTTTAGGTTGCTGCCAGACAGCCGAGCAGGGAGTCAGTGTACCCGTAATACGACTCGACAGCATTAAATGAAAGTAAATTGAATAAGTCAAGTTGTATTTAAAATGAGGTCAAACTCTCCAAGAGCTTGGTTCGTAACATCCTAGTCTCTCTCTCTCTCTGCTTTTTCCTCGCACCAGTGGCCCTGTATGCCATCAGCGCCGTTTATTTTGCCGGCGTGATGGTGCGCCTGATGCTGACTCTGACCCCGGTGGTGTGCATGCTGTCGGCGGTGGCCTTCTCCAGCGTCTTCGAGCACTACCTTGGAGACGACATGAAGAGGCAGAGCCCGCCCGTCGAGGACAGCAGCGACGAGGACGACAGGAAGAACGCCGGCAACCTCTACGACAAGGTCGGCCTCCACCGGAACGCGTGCCATGTCCTGTTGTTTGAATGCGTTGCCGTACTGTAGATTGATGTTCGTGTTACAGAGGAAGACATGCTGCTGAAAGATGTTGTTGTTGTTTTGCTTTGGTTGTTCCACTACCTGATGCTCTTTGGTATCTCAGGATATCTATTGACCGGTCACTAGCAGAGCCGTATACGGTGTCTATGTCACTCCTCCTCAGTCCTAATGTGGTCACTTCCGCTCACTAGTTGCAAAAAAAAAAAAAAAAAAAAGATGGCGACGGCCACACTGTCAAACTCGAAGCTTCTAAACGGCAGTTCACAAGCCAATGGGTGACGTCAAGATGACTACGCCCACTTCTTATATACAGTCATTGGTTTTACCTGGACGCCATATAACAGCTACAGCAGTCTGACAATTATTATCATCTGCTGTGTCCTCGGCTCATTTCCACAGAGCCCCCCGTCTTAAGTGTTTAAGTAACCTTTACACATGGTGTCCCGTGGGCGTGTGCTTTGCTCCGCAGGCCGGTAAGGTGCGCAAACATGTGTCAGAGCAGGAGAAGGCCGAGGAGGGCCTGGGCCCCAACATCAAGTCCATAGTCACCATGCTGATGCTGATGCTGCTCATGATGTTTGCCGTCCACTGCACCTGGGTCACCAGCAACGCCTACTCCAGCCCCAGTGTGGTCCTGGCGTCATACAACAACGACGGGTGAGAATAATACTGTAGATATTTAGGTTTGGAGATATTAAATCATTTCTGCCTTCACTCTATTTCCGTGGTGTTTTTGTTTACTCTCACAGCAATGAAGAAGTGACATTGTAAAATTCAACAGTCGCATCTTTCCAGAAGCTGTGTTCCCAGTAACCCTCGCACCGTGTTCTCATCACTATTCATACTATCTACTGAAGACACCGTCTCTTGCAGTACCGCACAGATGGTTCTGCATCTTTCTCCCTGTTGCTTTAAACTATTTTGTTCACGCTGTAGCCGTCTGTCTTGATCTTTTGCAAACCTTCCCGTCACAGCTGATCCACACAGACACTCCTCTCAACAGACATCACAGGAAACACTGTAGCATCATGTAGTGAATATAATGATCTGTCTGCATATTGCTGGGGTGGTGGCAGAAATCTCAGAGATGGATATCATCAGACAATTTCACACAAAACAAACTCCCTGCTTGGATAGGTACTATTAGAGATCGGGTGAATGCATTTTTAGTTATTTTGGTGAACTGACCCTCTAAGGCACAGTGATACCGGTTTCACTTCAGTAAAATCATATCGCCAATGTACAAACACACTTCATTCTGATCTATCTACCCTCCTCTACCTACCCGTCCATAACTCCACCAGCTCCCGTAACATCCTGGACGACTTCAGGGAGGCCTACTACTGGCTGAGGCAGAACACGGACGAGCATGTCAGAGTGATGTCCTGGTGGGACTACGGCTACCAGATAGCGGGCATGGCGAACAGAACCACGCTGGTGGACAACAACACGTGGAACAACAGTCACATAGCGCTGGTGAGAGCCGCTGTGCCTTTTTTAATGCTACAAGCTTACATTTGATCTCTTTCATGATGACCTTTGATTAAAGGGGCACACAGGAGGATCAGTTTCAACCTGTGAGAACATGATTTGTTTTCATGTCAAAATGAGACGGTAAACAAAACGGTAAGTGTGTGTGCCAGACAGCTAAACATTGAGCTGAAACTCAAAGCTGTGTTAAGCCGAGAGGAAGTGCAGATTCAGCTGAGTAGGCGCGTCGCTAAGACCGACGCCTTCCACATGGTCACATCGTTATTTCACATTGTTGACCTGAAACATGTCATTCAGTCGGACCAGTATTGAATGAATGCGAAACTCGCAGGACAGATTTGATGACGATGTTGAGCCACGTGTGTTAAACAGTTTTTAACCGCTCAATAAGGGGGTCGATTCTATTTCCAACCATGTGCTTGTGCCCGGGGCAAATTTGGTCATAAATCAACAACGGTTCGTGCAAACTTCCTCAAACTTGTTTGATCTACTTTTGTCACGCTGTTGAAAACGGTAAACAAATGAAACAAGTGTGTGATTGATTGAGATATAACTTGGCAAAGATCCACATGCAAATCCATTACAGGCTTTCTTACCGCTGTTGACTTTGTCTCGCTCCATGATTACATAGTTTGACAGCTCCTGGCTGAGTGTTATTTCTATTTTTACATGCACTTGGTGGAACTCAAGAGTGTTGATTGATTGTATGCCTTTAGTGCATTGCACCACCAAGTGGACATAACGCTGCATCACTGCAGTGGGATGTCCAGTGATTTAATGCTGCTTACTGCTCTCAGAGAAGCAGACGTACTGAGATATCCTGACTCTTAGTCACTGATGTGGGTGAAGCTCTAAGACCTTCACTACACTGATCTCGTGTAAAATCAACGGAGTGGCCCTTTCAATATTCACCTAGTTTTATACGTGACCTCGTAAAACCCTTGTTGTTCTTGGTGTCCCTCTCAGGTGGGCAAAGCCATGTCATCCAACGAGACCACCGCCTATGACATCATGAGGTCGCTGGACGTCGACTACGTCCTCATCATCTTCGGCGGGGTGATCGGCTACTCGGGCGACGACATCAACAAGTTCCTGTGGATGGTGCGCATCGCTGAGGGGGAGCATCCCAGGGACATCAGGGTGAGAGAGGCGTCTCACACACACACAGACACACAGACTGTAACTCTGTTTTTAGTGGGTAACGTAGGAGAAAGAGAGCGCTCTGCAGCCGTTAAATATTTATCGCAGAGACGGTGGATGCCTGCTAAGTGGAATTCATATGAATGTTTGATCCTCTCTCTCCCCTCTGAGGGAGGGAAGTGCTGAGGGAAATCAAGGATCTGTGGGCCGAGTTGTTTGGGTGCGAAATCGAATAAAGATCACAGATCAAAATGTGTGTGTGTGTGAGGTCACTTATTTTTCTCTCTCTCTGTTGCCTCTCAACTCCAGGAGAGCGACTACTTTACACCACAGGGAGAGTTCAGAGTGGACAAAGCTGGCTCCCCGACGCTACTCAACTGCCTTATGTACAAAATGTCTTACTACCGCTTTGGAGAAATGCAGGTACGTCGCCGTCGCTAACGCGTATCTATCTGCACTGCAGCGTATACTTCTAGAAGTGACGCAATAATAGATCTCAAAAGACAAAATCAACTTCATCTGGTCTTTGTCTCTGTTCAGCTGGACTTCCGGACGCCGCCGGGCTTCGACCGGACGCGCAATGCCGAGATCGGCAACAAGGACATAAAGCTGAAGCACCTGGAGGAAGCCTTCACCTCGGAGCACTGGCTGGTCAGGATCTATAAGGTGAAAAAGCAGGAGAACAGGGACCGCGTGGAGCACAAGCTGCGGGGCGCCGACACCACCAAGCAGAAGTACACCTCCAAAAAGGTAACCGCCGGACCCAGTCCAGACTAACATAGAACACACTGAATCACATTTAACCTGAGGCCACAACAACCGTGTGCACTCAGTTATTCAGATAGGGCAAAATCCATTTTCATTTTCACCCGAGCCCTCCCAAAGGGTTTATTTGTTTACCTCGTGATCTGGTATGGAAGCCTCGCACCTTTTGTGTAACTTGATTGTAGACAAGAAACTACCGAGGTGAAGCTCGAATCCATCTTCAGACATGTTTTTATTTTCTGTATTGTTTGTGCTGCGGTGGAAAAGTCCTTTCTGCATAGAAGCTTCCTCACTGAGGTATCTAAGTGGCCGCCATGATGAGAGCGGTTTGAATTACATTACAGTCATTTAGCAGACGCTTTTATCTTACAATTCAGGTTCTATCACCGCAGGCACGGGAGCAATGAATCTTTGGGGTTAAGTGGACACATCGACTAGCAGAGCCGGGGATCGAACCGCCGACTACCCACTTAGCTACAGTCGCCCATAAAGTAATGATGATGCTGGGTTATTTTATTATACTATATTGATCCCGTTAAGGGGGAAATTTGTCTCCCTGCCAGCTGTTAGGGGTTCAGTGTCTTGTCAGGGACACTTTGACATCCCAGTCCCAGTCAGGGATCCGTTGACGTTGTGGTTACCAGACAACCCTCTTAACCCAGTGAGCCACGGTCGCCCCCCGACCACAGCATTCCTTAAATGCTAAGGAAAGGAGCTTCCTTTACCAAAGGGAAGGACATAATTCCACCCCACAATTCCTTTGGGCAGAAACATTTAAAAGTTTCACATATGAATGATGTTTTATTAATACGATTAATGTAGGTTCATGGTTAAATATTTCATTGTGTATATATTGTCTTGCCAGCACATCTAAGGTATGTATGGCTGTCTGTAGAAAACGGTTCTATTGTTCCATTGTTTGTCGTAAAGCGCTTTGTGCAAACTATGTGAATCAGCTTGCATGTACGGTGGCTCTGAGTGGTCAAACAACTCTTGAAAGGCTTTTGACACAAGCAGAAAAATGCAGTAAATCCAACCTTTTTCTGAGAACATAAAATACAAATGAAAGTTCAGGAGTTTATTTTTAAACAATAAATTTTGATACGAAAAATAAGTTTTACTTGAAAAACCTGAAGAAAGGTGAATCTAGTTGAGCAGGAAATGTATTTTCCCTCTGAGAGTGAAGAGGGTGAGAGCGAGCCTTGATCTCTCCTTTCCTTTGCTCCTTGTCTCCTTGTCTCCTCTGCAGACCGCCAAGAGGAAGCGGGGCTACATCAAGAACAAGCTCTCCCTGAGGAAGGGCCGCAAACTGACCAAGAAGTCTTTATAGAACGTCCGCCACCGACCGAGGGGCACACACTGTGGGACGGGAGAGGAGAGAGAAAATCTTAAAACACAAAAAAAAAACAACTTTCAACAAACCAAACCAAGCAGCAACAGTAAAGCCACCGAATCAACACTCACCCGGAGGTCCAGGCTGGAAATGTTACCACCGCCTAAGAGAATGTGTCCAACCCCCCAGCTGACCTTTGACCTGATAAGCGGGGTCAAGGTGATGCGTTGGCTCGTCCCAGATCCACCCCCATGCTGGAACTGTGACCTTTGACCCGCTTTTCTTTTTTGTACTTGAATGTGCTCTGAGACGGAGAGAGAGATCAGCTGTCCTTAATGCAGGGACTGCTCTATGCACCCTGTAGGGGAGCCTACAGAGACCCAGACCACGGTCCTACACGAGTCCCCGAGTCAGCGCTGAAACCCCCCCCCCCCCCACCTCCTCAGACTGAAGCCAAGAGACTTTAGGATGACTGGAATGGACTTTATTTGATTCTTCATAGATATTCAGTGTACCAACCTGCTTCTTCTTTTATTTGTTCTCATGTGTTCCATTTCCTTTAACCTCCCCTTCATTAACCGGAGCATGCATGTACACGTATGTGCCAACAAGGAGGAGCCATCACTCGTCATACAACCTTCCTCTGCTGCGCTGAAGGTTCACATTAGTTTATTATTAGGTCCATTATTTTTTTTTTTCCTTTCAGAAAGAATCATTTTATTTTGCGAGTTAACTGCTGAGACCCTCCGAATGTCAGAAACCCAAGAAACACGGGTATTCATCCCAGAGACTTGCTTCCTGGTTCGACTTTAATTCACTCTACTTGCCGTAGTTGTGCGCGCTCACAGTTTTTCCTCTACACTGTCTTTATAATTAAAGGGTTACTCCAGCAGCTCATCATAGTCGGGGGACTCACAAGAGACCGATTTAAAAACAAACTTGTCCATAAATTGAGCGCCTTGTAGTTTTAGCTCCAGAAGCACTGGATCCTACAATTCCCATAATGCACAGGATGGCTTACTTCCTGAGATCCTTCATGCCTCATAATCGCTCACTTCTGTAACACCTCCTCACTATCGGTGTGTAACACGGCAGAGTAAAGACGCCATGCAGCTGTTTGCTAGCGCTCGTGTTCCTCTCACACTTAGTTGTCGTGACGTCGCCGTGCTCCCACATCTCAGCGATGACTGAGACGAGTTGAATATGATCTGAACTAGAAAGAGTCGAGTTGTACCAAACCAGAATAATCGTTTAATTAGTGCGTGTTATTCTTATTCGTATCATTCGTACAATGTGGACCCGCACTGAAGCTCAGGACCGAGTCAGACCTACGAGAGAGTCACAGTTCAGTTGGTACGACCCAATAACATATCTTTATTAATAATGATGCTTTTAGGGAAGAATAGGACCGTCCACCAGGGAGTGCATTTCTGAGCTTCAGGTTGAGACATGAAGCGGTTTGAATGATCACTCTGGCTGCAGGTTTACTGAGCTGCACTAGAGTAAGATCGAGCGCTACTGTGACGGGAGTGTAGCTGCACATCACCCGGGAGTCACTACTACTTGAGGGTGCTTTCTTTTTGTTGTTGATCGTAACATAACCTAACTGGGGGTTTCTGCCACATCTGCCTGTGTAATCATTAGAAAACATTTGAAGTGCAACAATCATTTTGCTCCAATTTAAAACACGTTTTCGTGGCCAGCAGTATTTAACCCACACTCTTCTAGTTTCACAACAACGTGAATGGAAAGCAGCGGCGCCAGTTCCTCCGTCAGTCCGCTGTCTTTGAGTCCAAAGTGAGGCCCGGTTTCTTTTTGTTCTCTTCCACTGCGCTAGGCAGATACCAGACTGTTTCTGCCCTCACTGCTTATTCTCTGTCTTCATACAACATAAGTGATCTGTTATGATTAGTAATTTGTCCCCTCTGTGAAACAAACGCTTCCTATTATCCTCTAAATCCTCTTTATTCTCGTTTCTTGAAGATATATCAAGAAACGACTGATTCTGTTAGGTTTTGTCTGAGGAGCGCAGGTGGAGAGGATAGCATTGGCCTTAACAGAAAAAAACGAAACGTATGATTTCCAGAGCTCAGAGGCAGTGAGTGTATTTATTACATGGACGATGGAGGCTGCGTCCTATCAGGAAAATGCAAGGATCCGGTCCGGGTTTTGATTTTCTAAGTCGAGGTTTCTTCCATCAATTGTAATGATCTGGATGCAGGTGTGAGAATGAAACATGCCTTTTTTTGAATAAAGAGGTTGAAATAACACCCGTTGTTTTTTGTTCTTTTAGCTCATATGCATCTACTTACTGTATATATTTAAAATGCACCTTTCCCGACACAGGACATACTGTACACACCTACAGTCAGTGAACGCACCTCAGTAGAGTTTAACTCTCTCTCTCTCTCTCTCTCTCTCTCTCTCACACACACACACACACACACACACACACACACACACACACACACACGATGTTCAGTTTATTTAATGTTCTTACAGTTTCAAATGTTACAGCCGTGACCATTCTCTAAAAAATGCACACAATAAAAACAAGTTCACATTAAAAAGAATACGTACGATTGCATTGACAAGAATGCATGGTTTCTACAAACTTACAGCTCCGTTGTCGAAGCTAGAATATACATTCAAGACATCGACTGAATTCTACAATGAGCACATCCACGCTACTCGCAAAAAACACACGTACGGTTGAGACGACGCCACAGAGATACGGACAGACGGGGGCTGAGGACCTTAACGCATGTGTGAGGAGCATCAGTAAAATGTTCTGAGGTGGAGTCTGCCATTGCTTTGTTCGCTAAAGTGGAAGGCACCAAGAGCACAGGAAAAAGTCTTCAAAAGTGCGTCACTGTTTGGATTCAACCTCAAGAATATTACTTTCTTTTTGTCATAAAAGATAAAGTGTCAAATTTTTTATTTTATTTTTTCCTTTCCAACAAAGGAGATTATTGCAAATAACTAGTCGCCCAGATGATCGACGACTGGTCAAATTTGGCAGAAAACTCGAACCAAAGTCTCCCAGTGTTTGCACCTGGAGTTGCTTGATTTCCATATATCGGAATAAATTGCATAGTTTGTGTAGAACTGCCAACCGAATGTTTTGAGCACCTTCAAACGGCAAAAGCAGCCTTGCTCTCATTTTATTGTTTTAACTCCATTTCACTGACTGCTGCAGATGTTCTCTCGCCAGATGTTTGATGAAAAAGGACGTACCACACAGGTGCTTTTTCCCCTTCTTTAAGCCCATTGACTACAAATTGCCTAAATTTCTGTTGACCAAAGGTTTTTAAACAGGCGTCAGTGTTGAAAATCAACTTAAAGTGAACTTTACCGTTATAGCTCAATATTTCTAAAATAAAAATGTCTCAAAGGGCTTTCACAAACTCACAATGTATAGAGACTTGAAACTTGTTTGAGGTAGGTAAACAGTCAACGTCAGAGTGAACATTACATAACCTTTTGTTTTTTTTTGGCAAAGGTGAGTTAGCGTTGTCCCGAGCTGTTCCTGTTCGACGCTGTCTGAGCCTCTCAATGTACCAAGTGGAGTTAAATCAAATCTAAATCTGGTAATCAAGATGTTCAATCTGATGGATGAAGCCAATTGAATCTCTGAAAGTGGATTTTTTTTTTGGTACTAAACTGAATAGAGCAGTTGTCAGCAATGGACTATTTGTAGTCAGTGGGCTTAGACGTGCACAAATACTGGCACTGTCCTTTAAAACAACTACAGAATGGACAGGCTGCATTGATGAACTCAAGACAGTATCTGTTTATGTCCCCCCCGTTCCTATTGGCCAATATTATGAAACATTTTGAGCATTAATATTCAAACGTCACTTTGACTCCTCTTGTCACAGGGCTCAGTGACAGTGGAACAACATCTAGTCGTCCTCGTCATCCTCGTCGTCTCCAAATGACAGAAGGCTGTTATTTTTCACTGTCTTTCCAGACTTCACCTCCTTCTTCTCCTTCTCATCTTTCTTCTCCTTATCCTCCTTCTCCTTCTCCTCTACCACATCATCATCCTCCTCCTCCTGCTGCTGCTCTACCTTCTTCTTCTTCTCTCCCCCATCGCTCTTCTTCTTCTTTTTGCTGGAGCTGGCGGTGATGCCCTGGAACTTGTCGGAGGAGCGCTTGGCGGGTTTCTTGAACAGGATTTTACCGTCGGCAGGAGGTTCGTCATCTGCGGGACAGGATGGATGTGTGTGATTCATTGTTTTGTATTTTTATTCCAATGTGTGTGCAAAGACAGTGGTTTTTCATTTTAGGAGCTTGCAGTATAACACCGAGGCTATCGGCAGTGATTAAAATATTCAACTGACCCTCCGCATGTCTAGTACAACAAACGGGGCCCACTTTACATTAGGATAAATGGTTGATGCTCGGTCTGTCTCACCTTTCTCTGCAGGACGTGTGTCGCCCTTGATGTTCTTCAGGTCCTCTGCGCTCAAGTCTCCTCCTTTTAGAACCACAACTTGAGGCAACTCGTCCTCTCGATCACTCCCGCTGTCGTCATCTAGTGTCGGCATCACCTGCCGCTGAAGGGGGGGGGGGGGGTGTAAAAGAGAGACAAAGGGTTTCCTTTAGCGGGACACCCAGCCTATGAGCGCACTAGCTCCGTTTAATAGAGGTTCACTCACCGCGCTCGGTTATCCACGTTAAGAGTGGATGAGAGAAGATGAAGCGGTTTGAATGAACGGCTCGTGGGTCCAATGCGCGTGGTTGTGTCTTGTCTCAATGCTAGTGAATTATTTAATCAGCAGACTGCCACTAAAACCCACTACAATATAACACAAAGCTGGTAGAAGAGACAGCAACCGCTACGACTCCACTCAAATGAGCTAACTTTAACGTTAATAAAATATGTGCTGCTAGCTTAACGTTGACAGAGCTAGCCAACCCGCCACATACCTTAGTGTCAACATTCGGTCCTTCTTTGTAGCCGACGTCATTTTTAAACTTCTTCAGAAAGGACGGTTCCGCTGGCTTCACCCACGACACGCCGCTGGCCTTGTTTTTGTTCATCGCAAAAGGAGAAATACAGCACAGACACCCAAACCAAATACAGGCCCTAAATATATTGTTCGACAAGCACAGGGTCTCACCAAAACACAGGATACGTCATTAAGATGTGCCGCTGCGAGTCACGTGACTTCAGAAGCTACTGCGATTGGTTCATGTTGTGTAAGTAAAGTAAATCGGCGGCAATGTGATCGGAAGTTGTCTTCAAGATAAAATCGTACATTTCGTCGTGTGACAATTATCGGGAACACCAGAAGGACATTGTTGTTGTGATTAAGTTCGATGACTTATTAAGGTTAAATGTATTTTGACAAGGTCTTAAGTATTTTTGGGAGAACATATTTGCTTACTATTATTACTGTGTGGCATCTTCAGGCAACTTCAGGAAACGTTACTGTCATTATGAATACAGCTGCACCGAATGCGACACTTTCGGAAGACACCGCACAAAAAGACAAAAAATAATAATCAAATGCCTGTAATATGTGGTTCTCTTATCCTTTACATGTGTGAGGTCTAGGCTGTGTAGCCATCGGTTTCAAGTCGGATTTTGTTTTGAAAATCTCTACCACGGTCTGTCATACGTGTGTTTACGTCTTGACACTGCTATCAGCGGTGAAACTACTATAGACTCCTTTTCCGGTAATGTGTGTCATTCAAACATGAGTTCGGGGTCTGTTTATGCGTTATTAGCGGGCTTTTTGGGTGCCGCTGCCTCGTTATCTGCCAAGCTGTCACTCGGTGCAGACTACTTGAGAGACATGTGTGAGTCGGGGCTCAGCGGCTGGACTCAAACACACGGTGGAACTTCAGCATGTGACTGGGTGAGACGAACTTTACGTACTGGCAGTTCAGTGGACGTACACAACAGTCTAACCAAACACTCGTTTTGTTACTCCTGGAACACAGAACAAACTCTCATTTGGTCTCACTTTTACTTTTAGTACATACTGTTCCATGGTGTATATATCATTTTTCACATTATACTTCCTCATAGCAAGTCTATGAGAAAATGACTCTGACATTGTAAACATCAGTTTATGGTCTCAATCTCTAGTTTTAAGTCTTCAATACAGCATGATGTTCATTTAGTAAATTATGGTCCATTTAGAGTCAAACAGACCATAAAGCAGGGGATGCTTTAGGGCGGGGCTTAGTATGATTGACAGGTCCCTGCCACTACTATGACATACTATGTATTGGGACATACTAAATCTTTTTGTGGCATACTAAACAGTATGATAGTATGGGTATTGGAATGCACAGTTAGTATGTCACATTACATAGTATGTCAAATGCAGTATACCGAAAGGATTTTCTACTACATTCCGTCACACTAAGCATGCTTTTCTGGCTATTCTGTCCCACAATCCTTTGCGCAGCAGATATAAGAGCAAGAGGGTCAAAGTTCAGGATCCCACGGTATGACGGAGTTGTACGTCCGAAATACATGCATGCTGCATGCAACAGTATACGCACTTTGTAGAGGCAGCTGCAGTATTATTTTGTGTTATTTTGAACCCAGCTTAAGTTATTCCTCCACTGAGGAGACGGAACATACCGCCTTTATACTCAGGTTGTGACATAAGCTAATGCCAAAACATGATATACAAACAACATGCAGACATTTGTCAGCCGTGGTTGCGTGGCTGACTGCTGCTTTCTGAACTGTTGCAGCTCCACATCCCCCTGCGGCTGCTGTGCGGAGGCCTGCTGTTCACCTGCAACGCCGTCATGTGGACCTTCTTCTCCAAGGCCCTCCGACACTGCTCCTCCTCGGCCAGGGTTACGGTCACCACCACCGCATCCAACTTCGTCTCCTCAGTAAGCATCTCCACCTCCTGTGGAGGCTCTTGTAGGCCGCTCACTTTATCAATTCACTTTCTAACAGTACTGAAAGGAAATGTACACGGCAGCATGAGGCATTAAAGGTCTATCTTCTGTTCATGTGTCCAGGCCGTCCTGGGGAGGCTGATTTTTGGAGAGAGCCACGCAGCTCTGTGGTGGGCGGGAATCTCTCTCACGCTGTGCGGACTGCTGATGCTTCACGGATCTGCGCCCCGGACACTTTCGCCGGAGGAGGGCAAAAAAGACAAGTAGCACAGCTCACTCAGAGGCAGACGGTAGACCACGTCGCACAGAGCCGATGGTGCATTCTGCTGCAGAAAACACGCAGTTCTAGCTGATTCTAGACTTTTCCTCTCTTACATCCCACCTCAGACCTGCACTGCAGCACCTGGCTGACCACATAACGAACGAGACTCCCTGCTTATTAATCTTGGGGGGGGGGGGACACACAGGACCATTGTTGCACCACATTAAAGGATGCCTGTCACTCTGTATCCGTGTGCAGCTTTGGGACTCGGATCGCAGTCTGTCACACGGAACTCTGAAGTCGGAAGACGCCGTCAAGCATGTCGTGGAAAAGCCGTTATCGCTGCTGTGTTTGTGCTGCTAAATGTCTGAAAGTGGATTCGCTGTGTAAGATTGAACAGTCTGTCCAATGTTTGTCCTTTCATGGTCACTACATCTGATAACCTGTTCATTAGAGGTGATTTTAACATTCATGTTGGATGTCCCTCTAACCCACTTGCTCTGGCTTTTTCTACATTCTTCATTCCTGCATGTTGTGGATTTAGAGACTTTCCTCTCACCTCGACTATTGCGAGTCTCCCTCTGTAGGAATCGGTCCCCCTCGTCTCCCCCGCAACTTGTTGAGAACGCAGCGGCAAGACTCCCCACAGCTACCAGGAAGCCGGACCGTCCCCCCCCATGTATCGGCCTTCTTTACCAGTGAAGTACAGATTCATTTCACATATTCTTTCATGGAGTGGCACACGGTTACATCTCTACATTGCTCATCCCCCATGATCTGGTAGCCAATCTCAAGCCAAGTTAAAGACCAAAGGGGATCGAGCTTCTTCAGCTGTTGGTGCTAAACTGTGGAATAGTTTGACACCAACAGTTACAGCTTCCACCTCCATCAATACCTTTAAAAACACGTCCAAAGACTCAGATCTTTAGCCTATTAATTAGCATCACAAACACGTCTGACCAAACTGTAGTTTTACTTTATTTAGTTTGTGCAATACTCTCTGCTTTTATTCATTGACTTCTATTCTCTTTATTATGTCTGTTTTCATTTGATCCTTCCTGTGTTTAATTTATTTACTTTGTAAAGCACTTTGGGCCACGCTTATATAAAAAATGAAATAAATAAAACAACTTTTACAATGTTTCTTTTATCATTTAGATGGCCTGAACAGTGCCGACAGACCTAAAAAAAAGGTGTCTGTGAACCTTCCACCTAAAACTACTTCGTATTGAACCCATCTCCAGAGTGCTTGTGTTATGCTCTTGTACACCTATGGGTTGAGTCAATATATTGATCAGTTTCATCGCTTTTGGCGATATTTTCCCAAATATTTTTATCAGAATTATGAAAAAACATGTTGAGACATATTTTGTTCAACCTCAGTTAGGGTTATGCCTTAAAAATACTGAAGCTCATTTGAGAATTCAATTCAATACAGTTTTGAGTCAAAATCCTTGTATGTGTTCACACGTACTACCATTAAAGCTGATTCTGATTCAGTACCATCAGCTACCAATCTAAAGTTTATAGTTGGCTTTTTTTAAATATAACCCGCCGTAGATTTCGATGGTAAGGCAGTAGTAGTAGAGGCCACATGCTGCCTCCTATTAGTTTGGAGCATGTGGTTTTATGTTACACATTTCCCCTTCAAGCAGTGACATGGTTATTAAAATGGTGGCAATAATACAAAAACAGATACAAGTCCTTGTAACAATGGGACAATATTCCAAACTCCACAGTGCGAATATTTAGGATTAAGAGCTGGTTAAATGTGTAAAGTTCCCCCCAAACAATACTAGAGCATTGAAACTCCACATAGTGTACAGTGTGAAATATCGAGTTATTACACCATAATCATATCTGCTTCTGTTAAGGTGTGAGCAGGAATTGTTAAATAACATGCATTACTAGAGGGCGCCAATTTGATCCAAAGTCAAGACACGAATGATGAAATGTTCACATTGGCGCCATCTAGAGGTGGAGTGTGACTGTGCAGCAGTACTGAAACCATTCCTCTTCTTCTGTCAGACTATTGAATAAAACAGTCAAATTTTAATTTGATACATTTTATTGTAAATATTTTTTCATGTAAGTTTGTAAAAAAAAAAAGTCACTCATTTCACTGCCGTTCCTTTTATTATTAACAGCATCAATTTTTTTAACTGTTCATAATGTACAGATGTATGAAATATTTATATAGAATTTTGAATAAAAAAATTAAACCCACAATTTATTAAAATATGGAAAACGTGATTAAAAAAACCCATCGGCACCCTTTTTAAAGCCCTTATGTAGAAGTTTACTCAATTATACAACAACCTTTATTCCAGATGTACAACAGAGGGATAGAGATGAAAACGGCATCTCCAGACACAACTGGACAGATTAGTGTGAACAATATGTCACACAAAGTCTCATCTCCCCACGCTGCTATGTTTCCTTGTCAGGACAGAGAAGGCAGAAACGTGAACTCAGAAAGGCGTCAGAGACGACAAAGTGGTTAAAGCAAACTGCTCCAGTGACACATTAGTGCTACCTTCAGTGCTGTTCACCAGAGACGACTCAACGAGGCCCTTTGACATCCATCGTCTCCTCACCTCAAGTCACAAACACTTTGCAGAAGTGAAGGAGCTGGAAGGAATGAAGGAATTCCTTCTGTGTGCAATGGCAGAACATTTATAAAAGGACCACGATGCTGGTTTGGTAAAAGTTTTCACAAAATCTGCATTAACTGCCCGCATGTGGCTGCATGAACACTGGAAGAGGAAGGAGACATATATGGGATATTTTCACGTACATTAATTCTTTGAGATAAAAAATATATATACACATTAAAATTCCAGGTGGATTCTGGCTATTTAGAAAGCCCTGATGAAGTCTCAAGTCCACACATTCCAGAATGTCTTGCTGAACAGGTGCTGCCAGGCAGAGAAGATGTCTTCCTGAGTGCAGGCAGCACTAGTTGAGTGGTATCTCTATGATGTCCTCCTCGATGATCTTCCCCTGCGGGACGGGGACGTGCTCCGGCGGGCTCCTGTTGCAGCTCAGCCCCGCGAAAGGGCTGCACCACGACAGAGAGAAGGGGCCGCCAAACGCCGTCTCCATGGCCTCCCAACACGGCACCTTCACCCACCTCCCCGTCTCTCCCTTCAGGCGCTCGATTCCCTGGTGAAGACACAACAGTGAGGGTCTGAGGGTGAACGGAGGAAAGCCCCCCCAAAAAAAGGACTGGTTGTCTTTTTCTACATGCACTATCAAACACAAACGATGACACGAGGATGATGACTGAAACATCAACACCACACTATGATTTTAGCTGACTGGTCCTGTTTCTCAGACACAAATCAGGCTCAAGATGATTTGTAGGCTTAGAATTTAAGCCTTTAGATTTAATACAATACTCATTTGTTGTATGTATGTTGAAGGAGTTATCGGTCACTGTAATCAGTCCTCCTGTCCTTATTGGCCATAAATAAATCCCTTCCTAGTGTGACACAAACTACAGCTGAAGCTGATGGGTATGATGGACCGAGCTGTAAGGTAAAGGGAACATCAAAGTTGTTGCGACTCATCGTAAAGGAAACATGAACGTGAGAAACAAACTTCATGGCAATTCCTTCATGGTGGCGCTAAAGGAAAAGTCTAGAGATCACCAAAGTTATTAAGGAACATTAATGTGTGTGTAAAATGTTGCGACAGTCCGACCAGCAGATGACGAGACGTCACGATATGTTGAAACTTTGACCTATTGGTTATGGTTTGTTATGTCGGTTTGTATTTGCAATTTGAACAACTTTTAAAACTTGGGGAGAAATTACATAATAAACCGATCTTCTGTTCAAATCCAAAATCCAGGGTGTTCCTATAAATGCGTAGTTACTAAGGTCGGGAATCGAGAACTGGATACAGTTGAGAACCGGTTCCAAATTGTACAATCCATCAGAATTGTATGTGTCTGGGGTTTTTCAATTGTTTTGATCAATGCCGGCATGTCACAGCCTAAAATGTCAGTTTTAGGATAATCATATGACAATATGCAACTTGTGTTACAGTGGAATGTGGATGCATCAGAAAGCTAAAAGCGCCGTAGCTAACTACATTACCCTGCCAACACATAGCTAACATTAGCTAGCTAACAGCTAACCCATCACAGTCCCATCCCATATTCATCTCAGTTATTAACGGCGCCCCTGGTAGACAGACGGTGCTAAATGAATCCTTTGACATTCTCAAATATAACAGCTCTAGGTAGCTACAGGCACTTCGTTAGCGGTTCACCCCTCGGTTGCGTATTTTAACTTGTTCAAATGTTGTACGGCAGACATTCTACATTGTGTTCGGACTCAGATCATTTAACAGCTGAGCAGGTGCCTATAACCTGTGTACGCCATCTTCCTCACAGACAATTGATTAGGAGTCAGTGAGGGGATCGATAGCTTAGCATAGCTTGTCATTCAATGAAGCAGGTAGTGTGAATGAACAACAAATGTCCTCATTTGTTCAATCTTGATTTTTCTTTAAAGTAACCATATTTTGTTAGTTGATTTGTCTAACGCAGCTGTCTACAGACTAATATTAGCCTCAGCTAAACTTTGTACAGTGCAAGGACTGTGTGGATGTTGTCCTCCATCTTTTACAGTGTAGTCGTGTGAAAGTATCTCTTTGTGGCCAGTATAGACAGGAGGAGTGGTTACTCTTTCAATGCTCATAAAACACATGCGTATTGTAATACAATAGGAAAAGTCTATCCTTTAAGAGCTTTTGTATCAGTTCTGATTCACTTGTTTTCTAAGAAACATGCCCAAAATGAATAAAACACTGTACAAAATTATTCACGTGCACTTTAAAAATCCCTGCGGAAGAAGCAAACATGTCAAATGGTGAAAATGGTGCATGCATCCTGTTACACACACACAGCTGACTCATTCATTTATAATGTTTAGTTGAATCTGAAACAGCAAAAAAAATAAATAAATTAAAAAAAAAAAGAAAAAAAAAAGGAAATGAAGCGTAATTTGGCCTTCAAATTGAAATCAGCATGCTTGTGATTGTGTAAGGCTCGATGGGACAGCTAACGCGACCTCTGTTGCAAGCTTACCTCTCCTCAAGATTACAAAGAGTTGTCTGCTTCAGAGAGCTTTTGGCAGAATGAGTTATCAACCAAAGCAAACGCATGAGCGGAGAGAGAACATTGCACGGGGAAGAGGCAGTTTACAGAGAGAACATATGGAAGAGAATGAAAGACAAGGCGGGTGTGAGAGGTCTGTATGCAGGGAAAGCAGAAACCTCTTCTGTAACCTTACTGGAACACAGCAAACAGAGGTGGAAACACATCTGGGTGTAGAAGGGCCCTCCACAATCAGAGAGAGATAAATACATTCGAAAAAGCAAGCAAACACAGTTTTTGCATTGCAACTGAGAAGTATTTATTCTCCGCGCATGTGCTGAAATATTTCCAGAATATTTAGAAAGAATTAAAATTTTCCGTAAAAAACAAATCATCTCCACCGCCGTCACTCTCACCAGCGATGACTCACCGGCAGTGTTTCACATACATGACTAAACTAACCTTCACCTGCACCATGCATTCGGATAACAAAAGGATACACAGCATATCATGTAAACAAAGAATAGGAGAATAAAATGCACACTTCAGAAACAGAGCAGTTCACACAGGAGAAAATCTTAAATGATAAAATACAATTTGCAATTTTAGTACTTGTGTAAATGTGAATAATGAAAGATAATGTTTTGAAAGAGGCTGGAATAGAGCGGTGCAGGAATGACGTACATTTGTTACACGTTAGCGTCACACTGGTTCCCTCGACAGAAAGCCAATAGGATCCTTCCATTGGATTATAGATTATTGCAGAAAGTAAACTCTGTGGCAAACGTTTATGATACTTCAATATTTAGTTTTCTTCACAAATGGACACCACTTCTAGGATTTTTTTGAAGCTCGAATGCTATCGCTAGTAAAAACATGTTATGCTACAAAAGAACTACACCACAGTCACATGACTTCACGTCACCACCACTAAGCTAACGGCAGACTAGTGTTCCAGTGATGACGTTTGTCGTCTCGTTCAGACACTTTTTTTTAAGACACGTAAATGCTTCTAAATTCGCGAGAGGGGTATTTACTGACTTACGGTATTTAATGTCGTAGAACACAACGTTAAAATCTCTTAAACTTGTGTTGCCACATACGACATCAGGCATCTGACCAATTCATAAAAATAAATAAAAAATCTTCCAGACGAGGAAACCAGAAGTGCAAAGATGCTGACTCATGTCCAAGTGTTAGGACTCATTCCTGCAGCGCTCTATAGTGCAGAAATACAGTCAAGCTTACGTCCAGCTGCTGCACAATCGGATGTATGCAGAGCTATACATTTTTATACGGCGCTTCCCTTTGACTCCACATAGTCCTCATACAATTTACATTTTAATACTTTTACCTTTTTTTGAGGAATTACATGTCAAAGCTTTCCCAAATAATCATGTGACTGTGGGGTTAAATGAATCTGGCAAGCGCTCACAACGTCAACACATCACAGAGCACAGGGGTGTTTCACCGGCAAGTGTTCATACGCTCGCTCACACACACACACACACACACACACACACACACACACACACACACACACATCCCTGTACTTCTATCTTTGTGAGGACTCTCACTGTTAAAAAGCATTCCCTAGCCCCTTACCCTCACCATCGCAAACCACATCAGGTCGGCCAATGTCAGGCCATCGGTGAGCGTCTGTGTCCCTAGTTCTTGCGGTGTGTCCCTTATCGTTGGCACTAGCGGGCGGCTTTTTTCGGGTGATGGAGCATGTTGAATCGGTGAGTGAGATCCCTTCAGTTGTCTGCTCAGCTTAAGCGAATCAGCGCATAAGAAGAAATAAAACGCAATGAGTGTGTATTATAACAATGGCTTGTTTATCTAGTCCTACAGTAGGTCTTCCGGTTTCTCTTTTTGAGTGACGAATACACACTACCGCCACCTGCTGGTGTGGAAAGTTAATTCCTCTCGCGCAGGCCCAGAACGTACAGGCTATTTGGCCATCGGTTTGTATTCTTGTGGTGTGTTCGAGTGCAACATTTTGTCCGAGACACAGGCGTCACTATTTCTTTCTAACACAGAGTCTGTACAATCAAACAAGCTTTGAACCAGTGACGACCGGCCAAAAACGTAATCGCTGTCACTCTGAAAGTCTAAAACTCAAGTTGGTCCTCACACAGATGTGCAAGTACACGTACACGTACACGCGCACACACACACACACACACACACACACACACACACGTCGTTAGTGTTACGGTGGGAGCCCAAACCTTTCCTCAAAAAAGGGAGAAAGAGCATATGTTACGACATGGTTGTTGACAGCGTGTTAACTCTACCCACAAGATTCTCACAACAGTGTTTTGTTGCTGAAAGACAAGATGAGGACGACACCTGTACCAACTGAAACCATTTCATGTCCCCATAAAGCATTACAAGAATGATTCAGCAAAGACTGCCACGACCAAAGCAAGCAGACATTTAGTTTTCTGTTTGGTGGAACTTACGAAAACTCCCTGGCTTGTGTGCGCGCGTGTGTGTGTGTGTGTGTGTGTGTGTGTGTGTGTGGGGGGGGGTGGGGGGGGGGGGGTCAAGCATGTATCAGAGAGGAATCAGGGAGAATGTTCCACACCTGGGCAACAGGTAGGTATTAAAGTCATTTTCAACACATAATTAAACTACAGTGGGACTTGTATGGCCTTGTAGGTAGTTTTCTCAAAAGGGACACTTCACTCTGTCATGTGAGGCTCAAATACAACACTTAACGAGTGACACTTTAATCCTGTTCTCTTGTATGGTAAGACACCGTCTACTTGACCAGTGTCTCACAGGTGAGTTGTGGACACTTTGAACACAACTAGGGCTGCCCCCTCTTAGTTGATCTGTCAACTCAGTTTTTGTTTAGTTTGGTCTCAGTTGACTGAGATTTATTTAGTCAATTAGTCATTTTCTACGCTTTTTTTCATGCTGAATGATGTATTTCCAAGAGACTTATGAGCTTGTCTCTGGTAAACACGACACTAAAAGAGGTGCTTTTGCATGAGGCTTTGTGGAGGAGGTCAGTTTTACAAATCTGACAATTAAATCATCTAATTGGTTAGTCCACTAAGATATTCTTTGATCCAGGGACAACACTAAACACCACCCATCCATTTACCATCAATAACGTTATCAAAATCATTTCAAAGTCTAGATCCTCTGGGTTTTTCACAGGGGGGGGTCAGAGCTCTGTATTTATAATACATATTGTACATAGGGATGCAGCATTGAAATGATCCCAAGGAAAAGGAAAAACAGAGCACTGGTATTACATAGGGAATGGATTTGGTAGATGCTCTGAGTTGAGGTATCGGGAGAAACATTGGATCGACGTGTTGTATGAATGGGTGGAACAAGCCACCGTCTTGACTCTTAGCACAACTTTTTTGCACAACTTGTTATAGCTAAGATATTATACCAAACATCCACAATAATTCTGGCAAACTGTTCTCTTAAGTGTTGTATTTGGCATCATTTACAAAGAGTCAGCCTAAAGGCCTTTACCCACCGAGAACTTGAATATTACACAGCAGAAAATGATCATTATTGGGACACTTTTTCTGAGCTTTCACACCACGAATTAAGGCATCAACCAATCAAGCTGTGTGGAACGAACATGTGAGGCTCCGTAGTCTGAACCAGGACAGCAAACGTAATTACTACTTAAAAGAAAATCAAAAAATAGCTTCGGCTATAAAACATTTCACCATGGCCAAACTGCCTGACGCTGATCTGGGTCGGTTGAGTGGTTGGGGTGTGGATATTTTGCATTATCGAGTTGTTTATCTGTCAGGCTCTCGGTGTGTAAAGGCCTTAAGAATGGATCTATTTTCAGAATGGCTCCCACAAGGATTGTGATTATAGAACCTACTGTAACCAAACCATCCAATCCATTTTAGTGGCCATATCTGGAACACTACTGATTACTATCTGACAAGAGGATGCTTTAAAAAGGGCCAACTCACCCAAATTACAAAAAGACATGTTTCCCCACTTACCACTAGTGGTGTGTAGCCACGAAGATAGTTTGTGTTTTATTTGTCCGGGATTAGAATTTTCTTGGTGATTGAACAAAACAAGCAAATTGAACACATTAACTTGGGCTCTGGGAACATGTGGAAGGCACCTTTTTACTCTTCTCTGACATTCTTTAGTGGCAGCAATATATTAAATTCCATTCTCTTCCATTGTATTGGGGTGGCGGTTTCAACAGCGAGAGCTAAAACTACCAGCAAAGCCAGACATCACTGGGCATAAGTGAGACGATGAGTCTTTTTTGGGGAATTTAACTGAACTAACTCTAAGAGGGAAAGCAAGAGTAAACATAGTTCAAGGAAAGAAAAGGGCTTCTGATACAACAACAGAAACAGAATTATCACAGTGCTTTCAAACAGGATTCACAAAATGAAAGTGCTTTCTTTTTCTCTGCAACTCAATGCACAAGGCAACACAAGAATAAACGGAGAGCGCACTTGAATGGCAAAACAAAAAGCAGATGGGAAGCTGTCCATGGCCAATGTGTGGGACATACAATGTAAATGGTGTTCAGCATGGGGAGCTGAGCTCTACGTGGGCTGGACTGAGGTTTCCCACTTTGGTTCTGACCCGGCCGCCTCGTTCAACGCGCTGAGCTCTCACACCACATACTGGTAGGTCTCAGCCTTCCCATGGTCAGGGGTGGAGAACGGACTAAACCACAAAAAGGAGAAAGGGTGTCCAAATACCGCCCTCATGTTCATCCACTTAGTTTTTTTAGCCCATCTTCTCTCTTCCTTTTTCAACTGCTCTATGCCCTGAAAATGAGAGACAACCAAACTTCAGCTGGTGTGCTGTTTGTGACCCAGTCAGCAACACAAACCAAATTCCAAATACCGACTTTTTCTTTTTCAGCCCACTAAATGTTAAAAAAAGAGAAAAGAAAACTTGAACTCTTTCTGAAAATCATCCGGGGCGACAAAACCCAGTATCTCAGTGGTTCTCTCTACAAGCATAATGTAGCTGCTTGTGTCCTGCAGTGTTTCCCTCGGGGAGTCGTACGGTTCCCTACATGGCAAAGCCCTTTCTCCTTGATTAAGACATCAAATGTCTCTTATATATATATATCTCACCTAGAGTTGCAGACAAAAAGAAGTTCAAAGCAGGAAAGGGAGTTTGGTTTGGTGAGCTCCAATACACACAATAGACTGAATGGTTTTAGGATGGTTACTGATTCCTTCTTCCACTGATACATGGACAAATTCACCTTTCTTTAAAAATCACATTTGCATCTTTTAAGTAGTTTTACACACGAACCACTACCTCTGTGGCTGCAGAGAAAAGTCATGAACTGATTGCTCACGCTTGTCAAGATAAAGTGAGGCGTACGGGTTAAATGTATGACCTGCAAAACTTCCACCTTTCAGACACATCTGGATTATGATTTATAATAATGGCTCAGCCATTGTTTGCACCTTGTAAAGAAATGATATTCATACATATATAATTTAAAAGTTTGACTAAAAAAAACTAAATAAGCATTTTGTCACATTTCAAACATAACTGGTATTAAAAAAAACAAAAAACATGAATAGCATAAGATAACATTAATATTTTAATTTAGTTGTTCTCTGAAAATATTTGAAAAATTCTATTTCCAGAAAATCAATTTGCCAACTGACAGCAGGTTCAAAGGAGTGAAAAACGTGGGTTTTGGGGAAACTTTTTCTTCTACATTTAGACTGTGCTTTTGAGGTAACTGCCAAAATGAGGGAAACCGCCGAGAACCAAAACCGAATATGTGGGCAAAGACTGAATGTCCTGAAAACATCTGGGCTCTATCTGAACCGTTCAGCCGACCCTCCTTCAGACCGAGGTTGGGGTCTAACCGGTACGGATATAATGTAATGACGCCGACGGGTACACGCCACTTAAATCACCAAAGACAGATGCCTGTCAAGCTTTGAATTTGAATGCAGAAAGTATAAAGTTAAAACTCAGTGGCTGATTTGTACAACGGATCGTAGACACTACACATTTCCCTTTAAAGCACTCACTATCAAAGTTTCTTTCTTTTTGGCAGTTACTCTTTTTCAAGACTTGCAAGTAATCCGCTGCACTTTACTCTGCATCAGGCTGCAGGATGAAAGATGACAGTTTGAATTAGAAGTAGGAGGTCGACGATGCCGAACGCTAAAAGCGAAAGGGGGGCCGCAGCGGCAGGGAGGAGAGCAGAAGGAAGTAGTGAGATAAGAGGGAGGAGGACCGCGGGTCGCCCAATGGATCACTTACGGTCTCGTCGGTACAGATGGAGTGGACTTGGGTGCCGAACATCACAGAGGTGAAGATGAGGAAGAGGAGACCCTCAAAGCACAGGAGTATGAGGAGGATGACTGTTGCTGGAGGAGAGAAGGAACTGCACTCTGGGGGAGGGGAATGGAGGGGAGTGGAGGGAGAGAAGTGAAGAGGGCAAAAAGAAGAGGGCGATATATGAGGAACTACAATAAAGGAACTACTGCGCTCTACTGTTGACTCGTCTGCAGCGGTGTAGTGAGGATGCGAAGCGTTTCTTGTCACCTGCTGATGGTGCTTGCGTGAAAGTGGGGGAAAGCAGTTAGTGTAGTGAAGAGATAAATCCCCAGTGCGCGCTGCATTGACCGAGACAGCTGGTCTCTCCTGCTGCGGCGCTGTATAGTCTGTGCCTACATGTACCAGGATGCATTGCGCGGGAGCTGCGGCTTTTTGCTACGGTTGATAAATAAACAAACAAAAAAAAAACTCGCAAAACATCTTGCATCTAAACCATCAAATGTAACCGTACACCTTCTCAATTAAAGTTTATCTCTTACGCTAAACTAAGACCGTAATGGCCTCGTTAACGCATCATAAACACACTTTGTTCTAGTTGGACAGAAACACAATGAAACTCTGCAAACACGTCGTGGTTAGTCTTTCCACTGTTCCAATGATCACCAACTGTGATTTGGTCGAAATAAATCCTTAATTCACAGAGTAAGAAAACATGCCGTCTCTGCACTCATATTTTGTGATGCCATTTTTCGCCGGTGGAAACATGAAAGTGACGAGAAAAGGGAACTGTTGGAGCGGCATCGTGCTCCAGAGTTACCACAGCTGAGAGGAGCACTCTGTAGTTCTTCCTCGTCTCGCATGGTGTGAGGAAGAACTACAGATTTTGCAGCTGCGCCCCAGAGACACAGAGAACATCAGGAACAACTACAGGCCTTTATCACACTACATATAGGTAGAGATAACATTAATAATAAGAACTGTCCTTTTTAATAACAATAATACAAACTGATTATGTAAGAATGTGTACGTTTCTGTATAAAGTTAAGAGTAACATATTGTTCTATTTTACTGATAAATAATGTGCTTTCTGACATAACCATTTCAAAGAACATTGTCAGCGTAGAAAGTACTTGAGGAAAGACTTTTCTTTTGATGAATGAAAACAATTGACAGCTAAATAGTAAAAATATATATATATAAATAAAAAACACTCACTTGTCCAATCATCTTCAAAGCAGTAGAGGAAATGGAAGACCACCATGAGCAGAGAGTGGAGAGAGACGAATGCAATGTACATCTAGGTTTAAAAAGAAAATTAAAAAAAGACAATAAAGAATGACTCATCACATACACTATATTATTCTCATATATTCTGAGTAATCCCTCCAATCTGCATCTGTAAGGCATTACAGCAGCCACTAACACTGAATCTCCTCAAGACAAAGTTAGCACACATCACACGGACCCTCGCGTACTTTGCTCACCCGCAAGTACGCGAGGGTCCGTGTGAAGTCAATTTTGTCGTCAGAGGGTGCACGTCTAGGCTGTCCACGTACCGGCAATCTGGACCTGGCTAAAGGTTAGGACCTCCAAGTTAACTACAATCTGATGGCAACATCTTATTGTGAAAAGCAGAAAATTGGCAACCTTCTTCAGTTTATGACATAATGAAACTTACTGTGAAAAGCACAAAGTACTTTTGGTTGTTCTCCCCAACACAGTTATTGACCCAGGGGCAGTGGTGGTCCATCTTGCGTATGCAGCGTTTGCAAACACTGTGAGAGAGACGGCAAGTTGAGATTCAAATAAAATCTGTACCGACTTAACTTTCCAAAACGACAAATAAAACAACTGTGCACAAGTTAAACGTTAGTAGAAAGCGACGTGCACTATATTCTGAGAGCATCTTCCCTGCACCACAACACTGCAGCTGTAACCAGGGGGTTGGGGTTGTGAATGCGGAAGTGAGGATTCCATCTCCGTTTTCTTGCCTCACCTGCAGTGGTGTGCTCGGTCAGGCTTGATGCTGCAGCACTTGGGACATTTGTAGACCACCTGCCCTGGTTTCAGCTGAAGGCTTTCTATGTATTCCTTGGTGGCGTTCCCTTTTGGCACCGCCCCCTGGCAAAAAAAAAACATGGGCACACAGTAGATGTCATCAGAGTTATCTACAGTAAAATAAAGATCTAAATGTGTATTTTGGATGTTTTCTTTTCAGTAGTCTGAAAGAAGACATGTTGTGGAAGTTACTTACCGGGTCAGTGCACATGGCCCTGAGGTGTGAGGCAAGGGCGAGGAAGGCCAGGATGTTGAACAGGGTCCCGTTCACAATGCTGTAGGTCAGATTCTTGGAGGGCAGCAGCATCACAAACAGCACCACAAAGTCTGCATACAACACCAGCAGCCAGGTGATGACGGCGCACACGATGCCACAGAGGTCCCTGATGAACCACATGGCGGAGGCCGCGGAGGAAGTGATGACATCTTTGGAGATAGGGATGCGCTGCTCGGCCTGTAGGCAGCTGGTCCCGGCCCCGGTCCTGCCCTGCCCGCGCCCGTGCTCCACATCCCTGCATCTGTGCACCGGGCTCTTCATCCTTCATCTAAGCTAGACGCCCGCTGCTGCCACCGGATCCACTGCGCCTTCAGGCCTCAGTCTCAGTCACCGCATACTGGAGGAGAGGAGCAGGAGGGTCGCAGTTTAGAGGCAAGGCTTGGTCCTCTGGAAGAAGGAAACGGGTTTTATCAACAGTTACACCAGCCAAAGAATGCACCTGAAACGGGGCTGAACGATTTGGAAAAAATATCAGTCAATATCTTGACTCATACTGCAATCCAATATGATTTTCGATATTAGAGGGATTTATCATTTTTACATAATTATTCCCATTTTCATTGAAAAACTTTCAAATTATTATGGTGTGAGTTTTTGTGTGAATCTGTACCAAACAAAGATGTTTACTTTAGTCTGTAAAATATGATGTTTAGGCCACGATATCTCTGCAGCAGCAACACCATTTTTTTTTTTTTTTTTTTTTTTTTTAAAAATGGTATTTTCACACATTTTGCCTTTAACAAATATTTTGACTCCAGCAATTTGAAAGCTGTAGTAGGTCATAATCCAATTTTGACAAAGCATCATGATTATTTGTGCAGCCCCAACCTGAAATCAAAACAAACCTCAATAACCATAAAATTGTTTATGAAACAAGGCTTCTACCTTGAAGGAGTGAGCGCAGGGAAGCCATTTCACACAGGAAACATATTTCATGAGTGTGGCTATAACCGTTATATTATTATACTATTTTTATTGATTCATCTGGTGATTATAATTTATAGATTTGTCTATAACGTGTCAGAATATAACACCAAAAAAAAACACTTGATGAGAAAGAGCTCTGGGAATTCTCCCCCTCTTATACAGAATAAAATGATGCAACTAAAGAATTCTGATATTTTATTTTCTTTAAAAAAAAAAAAAAAGAGAAAGAAAGAACAAAACAAAATTGTTGCCAATTGTTCTTTAGTCAATCAACTAATTGCTGAGGCCTGTAACTCTAAAGGTCAGACAGCAGTGAGTAGCACAGCAGAGCTTGGAGCAATGAACTTACAACTAATCGTGAGCTTTGTGGTAGAACGCTACACCCGAAATGAAGCGCATGACACAGCAGACTTGTGTGTCAACACGGAACCCTTTGCTACAGGAAATACCGACTGAAAACTGAACTTTCCTGTTCTACAGTAAAACATGTCCGTGTCCGTAGACAAACAAAACTTCATTAAATATATATATTTTTAAAAAACTTTCGTACAACTGCAACTCTCAAAATTAGTGCCCCATGCTATTTATACAACATGCAGCTGACAATATGATACTATTCTTTAAAAATGTTTAAAAAAACAACAGTGGACCATTAGTGGTTTTAATGCAAACTGCCAGACATTAGGGGGGTAACGTTAGAACAACAACCCAGAGTCCTATGCAACCTGGGCATACTAACACACACACATCTCATGACAGAAGTCTGAGGGCAGCGATGGTCAGTCGTGTTGGGATTATCACAGCAGTGAGCAGCACAGTGCACCACCACCTGGAGCTGTGCAGGAGACCTGACAGACCCTGACCCCGGTGTCTGTGCGTTACTCATCCTCACCTGGCCCATAGACACCTCCACATTATTACAGTTCAAGTCCTACAAGGCCATGTCATCATACAGGTTAATATCGTGTATGATCAGCTATGTATACAATATCATTCGAATACATTATGGTGTATGTCAGATTAGAGAAGTGGGGATTGATTGACTTTTTTTTTGCAAAAATGCGGGTCACTGGATCCCACAGTTTCTTCCTCGCTAACAAGCAGCGTTAGGTTTGGCCAGAGAAGGAAGTAATGCAGCTGCTAGTAAAGTCAACTTCAGTGAAACCCGCTTAAGGCTTCAGGTTAGACAGTTTATAGGCCTGTGTGCTACTGAAACCATTTGAAAGCAGCTGACACACATTAGCTAACGTGAGGCGCTAGCTGGTTAGCTAATGTTTCAGAGTGAGCATTTAGTGAACCCGTTTGCCTATTTCTGTCGCTGTCCACCAGCGGTAGGTGCTCCAGTACTTCAGTTCGCCTCAACTTCGGATTAGTCATCATTATATCCCGCTAAATCTCACCTGAAAGACGAGCATCCTTCGGGGGCTTTCTCGGATGTTGCTGCTCGGTAGCTCCCCCTCGATGACACGCACGGGTTCCGCCCCTTCACCAGCAACACGACGACATGACGTGAGGAAGCGAGCCAATGGCGTCATCGGAAAGGTTTCAAGCCTTTTCTCACGTCACATGACACGTCCAGACACACCCATCTCCAGATCTATTTATTTATCATCCATCATAGTTTTAAAGACAACTCCAGTGGGGCATCTTGTATCACAACAGTATATTCAACGTTTTCTATGAGGATTCCTATGAGGTGCATATATTGCTTGATTCCTTTCATGTTTGATGTACAAAGAAGGCTTTGGCAAACTGTAATATGACTTTAGAATACAAATGACAAAATAACATATAAAAAATGCGGCACCAGGCATAATACTACAATTATATTATCAGAAATTGCATATACCGCATAAACATAGAATTGATTTGGTCAGACTACCAGTAAGAAAGTAGTAGTGGCCCCTGTTATCAGTGTGTGAGTGGGTAAATGATGAAATCGCTCTAAATGGTTGGAAGACTAAAAAAGCGTTCTACAAGTATAGTCCATTTCCCATTTACTTTCATTGTTTCATTCTGCAGGTGTCGCCTCCACCTGCAGGTACTGGCAGACAGCTGCCATCTTAATCTCCACCTACACGCTCTACCAACAACCATCACCGCTGCCTCCACCTGCAGACCCTCGCAGACACCTGACGCCTGAACCTTCACCTGCAGCCATCAACCTCGGCCTCCACCTGAAGACTTTAGCTCCACCTGAAGCCGCCTCCATCCACCTGCACCGCTGCCTCCTCTCCTATCGCCATGTGAAGAGAGGAACAGCAGGGACCAGAGACACACTCGTAAATATCACCTCTCAGATAAACAGAAACATAGCTGTGTCATAATATGTCTGGGCTGATGAAGGAAAGCTGCCTTTCTGTTTACATTCTGTTCACATTCTCTTTCTCCTCACAGCTATCTCCACACATTGACTGACTGTGATGCTGAACTTCATGGACCAGAGAGAGCTCATCTTCCTCCCACTAGTCTCAACCCAAGGTAGAGTTGATCAGCCGGATGTTCAGCAGTGTTAGATATTTGGTAGCCGTGCTTTTAATGGAGGGTTGGTGATGCATGTTATTTCAATACAACACATGTTCTTTGTGGTTTCCTCCAGACCCTATTGGACTTCACATCCAGATCTACCAGGGAGCTGATCGAGATCCCTTCTACCAGAGCTGTGTACCAGAGATGCTCCTTCCTCCTCCACATCCTGCACATTCGCCTCCGACTCCTGCTGCTCCTCTCCCATATTAATGGAAGTCTGAAGGATGCAGAGACACTCCACCTGAAACTTTAGAGCCTCACATTTCCAGCCGTGCTCGCTAAAAATAGACGGCCAGTAGTTCGTTCTGTTACTGTGTACGTGTAAAACCTTTCACTGTTGCTCAATAAATGTCCATCATTCTCTTCAGTCATCAGTCGTTTGTGTCCACTAATTTATTTCAATTTGCCAGCAGATATCTTGACTTACTCGTTATTTTCTGATCAATCTGTTCATAGGAACTGGTAGTCATTAATAAACGGAATTGAGTTTCTCAATATTCAATCAGTCAATCCACTGTAATTATAAATGTTAATAAATCCTTAATAATGAATAGTGTAAATGCTGTAGATGGGGTCATGTCTATAAATAATGCATTACAAACACAATACATAATGTATTTATATGGCTTCATAAAATGATTTTCAAGGTTTATAAAGTACTATAAGTGATGCACAAACAGTGTTCTGATTCTGATTCTGATTTTAAAGAAGAATATGAGTTATTATAACTTCCATAACTAACACTCGTTCATAATACAGGCACTCATGTTATATGGCTCAGAGTTTTCACAAGACAAGAAAGACAAATAAACAGAAAATAAACAGAAAAGTTGTCAAAACATTACCTTCATAGTTAAAAGTATATTGCGAAGGTTTGCTCCTTCAGTTCCCACCTTTGCCAGTTGGTGACACTGTCGAATTCTTTGTGAATTACCCAAGCAGACCCAACCAATGGATCTAAAACAAGTGGCGCTGTCGTTGTCACACTAGAAGCAGGTGAAGAATCCCTGAACAAAACAGAAGTGGCTTGTTATAACGCCCACATGTGTTCAATGAGAATGTCCAAACAGCTGTCTCTCCCCTAAATTACATTTTACACAGGTCGGTAACTATACCGGTATCAGACCAAAAAAGTCGAACACCGATATCCTCCATCACCACTGTGGAGCACGCAGCACAGCCAGTGTGTGTGTTAGCTTGAACGTAGCGGTGATGATTTGTCCAACTTCCAGATAACCTGCAGCCACGCCAAAATGACAGACTACGCCGAAGAGCAAAGGAATGAACTCGAAGCTATAGAGTCCATCTACCCAGACTCTTACACAGGTGTGGATTCCACCAAAGTCATCCAAGACGGAGAAGCGAAAGACAGGAGTTAGCTAGCAAGCTAGCGCGCCAGCTAGCTGACTGGCAACGTTACTTACTCAAAGATAAATCCAACAATAGCTAACTATTCCTTTGTCACCCAGTGGTATATATATTCAGTGTCGTTGTAACTGTACTCCAGGTAAATGTCAGACATGCAGCACTGATTTGACACGCTGTGACAGTGGGCCTTTACTGTATATATCGTATGGTAGGATAACTAAGTTACGCCAAACTCCATTCAAATTCCGTGTAACTCTTCTCCCCACACTGAGCACCATATACAACGGTCATGTGCATTTATATTCTGCATATATCACTGTAATATACAGTTTTTATCCATGTTATTGTTGTATCATGACAATCCTTCCGACATTAAATGTATTCTGTGATGATGCCTCATGTAGTAACCTCGGAAGATTGTTCATTGATATGAAATATCAAGATGATGACATGAATCCACGTGTGTTTGTAGTGCTTTCAGACGACCCCACCAGCTTCACCATCACTGTGACATCAGATGCAGACGAAAATGGTGAAAGTGAGTATACTGAGTCAAAAAATGTCATCCAATGCAGGCACGCCAATTGTTATAGAAATCTCACCTTTGGCTTTGTTGAAAGGTGAAAATTGAAAAGGACATAATCACATTATGGTGAGTGTGAGGGAAATAGCATGCCAAAGTTGATTTGACTTGTGTAAGCTGTGTAATAAACATGCCACAGAACTGGAAAGCTTGTAAAGTGAAAATAAAGCTGACTGTAATCACACAAGCTGTCTGCTTTCTTCTTGCAGTCGTGGAAGCAACGCTTAAGTTCACGTACGTAGAGAAATACCCGGATGAGCCTCCGCTGTGGGAGATCCACTCCCAGGAGAACCTGGAGGACGACGACGCGGAGGACATCCTCACCTTACTGCAGCAGCAGGTCTGTCTGTCTCAACTTAATATTATCTCTTCAACAGATATGGGTTCCTGGTCCAAATCCTGTATCCACTGCTGGTCTGTCAACCTGCCATCTGTCTATCTGGAGTTGTTCACACGAGATGGCTTTGCAACGTTTTTTGTTGTTGTTGTTGTTGTTGTTGTTGTTGTTGTTGTCTACTGCCAGTCTTTTAACAGGCATGATCATGGCTGTCCTAGCATCATAGCACTGGCTTCCTCTACATATTAGAATATATATATACAGTGTGTATATATTAGAATATATATATACAGTGGGTACGGAAAGTATTCAGACCCCTTTAAATTTTTAACTCTTTGCTTCATTGCAGCCATTTGCTAAAATCAAAAAAGTTCATTTTATTTCTCATTAATGTACACTCAGCACCCCATCTTGACAGAAAAAAACAGAAATGTAGAAATTTTTGCAAATTTATTAAAAAAGAGAAACTGAAATATCACATGGTCATAAGTATTCAGACCCTTTGCTGTGACACTCATATTTAACTCACATGCTGTCCATTTCTTCTGATCCTCCTTGAGATGGTTCTACTCCTTCATTGGAGTCCAGCTGTGTTTAATTAAACTGATTGGACTTGATTAGGAAAGGCACACACCTGTCTATATAAGACCTTACAGCTCACAGTGCATGTCAGAGCAAATGAGAATCATGAGGTCGAAGGAACTGCCCAAGGAGCTCAGAGACAGAATTGTGGCAAGGCACAGATCTGGCCAAGGTTACAAAAGAATTTCTGCAACACTCAAGGTTCCTAAGAGCACAGTGGCCTCCATAATCCTTAAATGGAAGAAGTTTGGGACGACCAGAACTCTTCCTAGACCTGGCCGTCCAGCCAAACTGAGCAATCGTGGAAGAAGAGCCTTGGTGAGAGAGGTAAAGAAGAACCCAAAGATCACTGTGGCTGAGCTCCAGAGATGCAGTAGGGAGATGGGAGAAAGTTCCACAAAGTCAACTATCACTGCAGCCCTCCACCAGTCGGGGCTTTATGGCAGAGTGGCCCGACGGAGGCCTCTCCTCAGTGCAAGACATATGAAAGCCCGCATAGCCCGCACAGACTATGAGAAATAAGATGCTCTGGTCTGATGAGACCAAGATTGAACTTTTTGGCGTTAATTCTAAGCGGTATGTGTGGAGAAAACCAGGCACTGCTCATCACCTGCCCAATACAATCCCAACAGTGAAACATGGTGGTGGCAGCATCATGCTATGGGGGTGTTTTTCAGCTGCAGGGACAGGACGACTGGTTGCAATTGAAGGAAAGATGAATGTGGCCAAGTACAGAGATATCCTGGAAGAAAACCTCTTCCAGAGTGCTCTGGACCTCAGACTGGGCCGAAGGTTCACCTTCCAACAAGACAATGACCCTAAGCACACAGCTAAAATAACAAAGGAGTGGCTTCGGAACAACTCTGTGACCATTCTTGACTGGCCCAGCCAGAGCCCTGACCTAAACCCAATTGAGCATCTCTGGAGAGACCTGAAAATGGCTGTCCACCAATGTTCACCATCCAACCTGACGGAACTGGAGAGGATCTGCAAGGAAGAATGGCAGAGGATCCCCAAATCCAGGTGTGAAAAGGTTGTTGCATCATTCCCAAGAAGACTCATGGCTGTACTAGCTCAAAAGGGTGCTTCTACTCAATACTGAGCAAAGGGTCTGAATACTTATGACCATGTGATATTTCAGTTTTTCTTTTTTAATAAATTTGCAAAAATTTCTACATTTCTGTTTTTTTCTGTCAAGATGGGGTGCCGAGTGTACATTAATGAGAAATAAAATGAACTTTTTTGATTTTAGCAAATGGCTGCAATGAAGCAAAGAGTTAAAAATTTAAAGGGGTCTGAATACTTTCCGTACCCACTGTATATAACTGCTTTCACAGTTCTACTTTTGTTTGTGTAGTGCTTTCTTTGGAACTAATCTACATATACCTCTCGAGCTAATTCACTTGTTACTCTTCCCATAGACAACCAGTATGTTTATCCAATCAGAAGCTGAGAACACGTAACTAGCGGCCTGCTGTCTGATCGGCTCCATGCACTGTAGAGTATCTGTCTGTTACCAGTGTAACCCGTACCATCAATGTGTTTTATGGGGTTCCTCTGCAGGCAGAGGAAAACATGGGCATGGTGATGATCTTCACCCTGGTGACAGCCGTTCAGGAGAAACTCAACGAAATAGTGGATATGATGAAAAACAGACGAGAAGAGGAGAAACAGCGGAGAGAGGCCGAGTTAGAGGAAGCAGAGAAGGTGGGAACAGGAGAAATGTACACATGGCATTCATTTAAACTATTTCTTCCACATTGCGATGACTCAATACCAAATCATCGATTTCAGTCTTATTTCTCACTTCTAGTGGCCAGTTGGAGACAAAAGGGTGCAACAGTACAGAAATTGTCCAGTCTGCTCTCCGTCAATGTACGTCCACTAAAAGTGCCTGTTGTTGCCACTGACAGGCTCAGAGTGTTATAAGTGTCAGACAACATTATGGAAAGAACCCAACAGAGAATTAAAACCTTTTTCTTTATCTTTCGCATGATCGGTCTGTTTGGTTTTGCGTGTCTCAGAAGCCTCGTTCTCGTCCACGTTGTCGAAATCATCTAAATATTCAGCCACGACTTTGAAAATCTTTCAGATAACACTGAGCTACGTTTTCTTTACTCCAACACAACAAACTTTGACAACACCGGCACTCTTGAATAAAGTGAAAGGTAAAAAAAAAAAAAAAGAGTTTTATATGCCAGACACGTCTAATATCAATCTGAGCCACTGACTCGTTGGTCAGTGGCACTTTTAGTGGACGTACATTGACGCTCCGAGCGATTCCATTGCAGCCTGTTCAGTAGCTGCCGTTTGCAGCGTTCTCCCTCAATACTGGACCGATTAAAAGAAGTTGTCCCCTTTAGTCACTTAGAGAGAGAAAAAAATAGGATCCAGGTTGAAAAAAATACCCAAGTTACCGTCAATGATGGCGTCATGTGTAATGATGCGTGTGTGTTTTGTCAGGTGTTGTTCCAGGGCACCGTGGTAACCATTGAAAACTTCCTGACGTGGAAAGCCAAGTTTGAGCTGGAGATGTTTGAGCTGAGGAGTAAAATACAGAAAGAGGAGGAGCAGGGAGGGAAGCTCAAACTCACCGGTAAACTCTTGACGCTTTTACTTCAAGGATCTCAGCTTGCAAAGATGATCCCAAATATATGAACTAAAGAGAACGTAATCTTTTCCTCACCAGGTAAACAGCTGTTTGAGACGGACCACAACCTGGACACGTCTGACATTCAGTTCCTTGAAGAAGGTGAGTGTTTGAACTGATGCTCTTTTTAAGGTATCACATAATGTTGTTACTGGGGCTGAAAACAAGTGGTTTACAAAAAACTATTTTATTTTATTGCACAGCAACATTAACTTTAATTCCATAAGTGAAATGTCATCGTTGTGTCTGGGTTGTTTGTTCGTCGGATGATATCTTTAGTCATAATGCACTGATTTTAAAGACATGTTTTAGAGTGGATTCAGGTGTGATCTTTTTCTAGTACAAACATATTTGTTATTGTTCAAATATATATATATTATTTTTTTTATTGATTTTCACATACATTATTCAATCACAATAGTATTTAATACTCCAAAAACAGATTATTGAGAGGTATGTAAATATATAAAAACAAAACAAAAACACAAATATGAAAAAAAGTGAAAAGGGTTCAAATATTTCTTGGTGGAGCCTCAGGCGGTGCATTTAAGCCGTTCAAGTTTAAGACGGGACGTCAGGGCGTCACCTCCTCCACCCTGTGAGATAGGTGGCATAACTTTCTGATGACAATGCAGTCAAGGGGGTTAGGATCAATAATCTTGTAATGCATATATAAAGAGGCAATAAATATACCTGTCCAGAATGGAGTCAGTGTGAAACATAAGCCATTGAACATTGCAAAACATGTCTAAAAAGCTGTAGTCTTTAGTTCAGAGTTGGTCTATTGGAGATTGGTTTGTTTTTAGCACTAGTTTTATGCTCACGTGCACCCGCGATGGTGACGGCCAAAAACCAAGATGGCGACAGCCAAAATGACGAACTCGAGGCTTCAAAATGGCAGTCCACAAACCAATGGCTGACGTCACAGCGACTGCGTCCACTTCTTATACACAGTCTATGTTTCTCTCCTCCGCAGCTGGGAACAACGTGGAAGTGGATGAGTCACTCTTCCAGGACATTGAGGACTTGGACTTGGATGAGGACGACCCAGACTTTAACCCTTTAGCGATGGGGAGTGATGAGGACTAAAGCTGGAGTAGGACAGAGGACTGACGGGAACCACACCTGCTCCTCTCTGGGATACCATCATCTGACCAGACAAATTTAGTTTTGAAAGACTCTTAACAGTTGGAGAGGGTATCCTCGTGAATGCAACACACACACACACACACCATCGAGTGTTAATTTCTATGCCTGAACAATTAAATTGACCGACTAAACGTGTGACTTGGCTCTGATGCTGTTTGACATGCAGGACGTCCCGGTGACAGGCCTGCTACTTGGCCAGAAGGGGGCAGTATAATATCACGTATGGCCAGGGAGTAGAAGAAGTATTCAGATGTTTTCCTGGCATGAAAGTAGAATAATACTCCATTACAAGTAAGATTACTGCATTCACTCTCTTATTTAAAGGTGCAATCAGCAATTGTATTGAGTTCAATTATCAACATTTTGTTTCCAGATTGGCAGAATCCACCACTAAATAACAGTATTGGCAGCAAAATATATAAAATCGACTATGAAAATGAAAAGCACTCTTTATGAAGAGTTTTATCATGGATGTGAACCGCATTACTATGTTGTAGCTGGTTCAGGGGGAGTCGAAAGCTTCTACTGCAGTTGAATTATATTAATTATTTCAAATGTACATCACATGTTGGAAATGTAGTATATATATTTTATATATTGACCATGTGGCTCTGCAAAGTAAGTAGTAACTAAAGCGTTCATATGAAGAAGGTGGAGTCAAACAAATGCAGTATTTGCTTCTGAAATGTGGGGGAGTAGATGTAGCAAAACATCAAAATATTGAATTGCAAGTACTTCAAAACAGTAATACAAACATAACTGATCCATTGTAACTGAAAACGTTAATTAGTGCAATTGTAAGTACAATACTTTGGTAATTATATCTACTTAATTGATGAATACATGCGACTACAAATACAGATGGTCCTATTGTTTTCTAAATAATTAGGCGATCCCCAGGTCAATAGGTCAATAAACTAAAATATTTCATAAAATGTTTTACACATGCAAATTACCCATTATATTATTGGATATCTTATCAAATGTGTGCTAATCTGCATACGTTTTCAGAACAGAGGATAAAGGCTGTTTCTTGTTTCATTTTATTGACAGTCAAAGGTTTTAACAAAGGGAATTTTGTATATCTCCATATGTCAGAAAATACAGTCAGCAGACATAAAAAAAAAAGTTTTTAATAATAAAATATATAAATCAGGCTATGAATGACATGAACAAACCTCTCATTAAACCTTCAGAATAGAGAGGAATGGAACTGAAGTTTGGTGTACGTAAGAGCTACTGAAGTGGAGATTTCTGGATCAGAGTCTGAGAAAAAAACTAATTTGGAAAAAAAGGCCTTTAAAGATCTGTTTTGTAAACTTACATTTTGAAGACACTACAGGTGAATAGAGTAATAAATTATAGTAATATATATCACCATGAAACGTCCCCAGTTGATTACTTACTAGAAAAACAAATCTTGAAGTTCCGTTTGAATATGCAAATTAAGCATTATCAAATGGTAACTTTTGGGGAATTTAGGAGAAATCCACAGAAGCAAATGGACAAAATAGTAAAATAAACACCTAAATGTGTATTTGAGGATTTCTTTCCACTAGCCTGAAAGAAGACAAAATGCCAAAATCTAAAAATTGACAAGTGCATGAAAAAATATTGTTTTTCCCTGTAGTGTCTCCCCACAAGACAAACGCTATTTTTCTATACAAAGATACAATGTAACGCACAATGTATCAACAGGCTTTACAGTCCCACGGCAGCCCAGACTCTGTGTCCAAATAACTCCTTTTCTGCTACCTAGTGTAATATATTATATATATGCTAACAATGGAACAAAAGAAAGGTGCTGTCCATAGCATGTACACCGTGTTTAGTGAAAAATCCCACAATGCAATGTTTCACTTTTGATAAACTGTAAAAAGAATACATAGTTATACATCACCACACCAGTCAGCCGCAGAGTAAAATGATGAAGATTGTCTGAAAATTGCAATTTACTGCTGATAATCTGAAGTGTGGAGGCTTTATTACAGGGAATGGTCAATACACACAGAGAGAGAGACGGAGACAGAATCATGGCAACAGTATTTACAAAAATTTAGAAAAAATTACAAAAATAATGAAAGCATTTTGCAATCTGTATTAACAGCATTTCTTTCATATAAACTTTTATAACATTCAAAATTGTTGGTGTAACACGGATACTATAAATCGATTGGCTAATAACAGAGCAGTGTTTTGTCAGCACAGAGCAGCAGACACACAGACAAGCACCTCAGATTATCGCCATCAGATGTGAAGACAAAAACGCACTGCGACGTGAGAAACGACAAATGATTGTGTATCTGTTGGAAGGAAAATGAAGAATAGTTATCTCCGCAAGGAGATCATGTAGTCGGTCGGCTGTGCGTGGTTGTGAGCATCTCGCACATATCTCATCTTATTTCTGACTATGCTCAAGGACCCCTCGTGGTTGCAGTGATTTACACTCTTTGAAAACATATTTTATTGAATGTTTTATAATGTCATTGACTGCAGACTCCCGACTGCTCTTAACCGGCCGGTAGGGGCCGCAAGCGATCAACAACTGCTTCAATTTGGATTTCTTGCTCCCGCTAAAATTACACCTCTTTTGATTTGCACGCGACTGACATTTGCAGGCATGTAGGTTTTGTATGCATAACTATCGCTTCACAAACGACAAACTCAACAGAGAGCTGACTACAACGCAGCATCTTCTCATGTCAGTAGGAGGAGCGTTAGTTAGCCGTTAGCCGCAAGTGAGCAGCAGAGTCCTGCATTGTGTTAGCTAACAGAGCTAACAGCTATCGGGGCTAATACAGCTAACAGCTAATAGAACTAAACACACAGCGGGACTGTTCAGAGGAAACGTTAAACAGTCAACTTGAAGTGTTACACTGAAATGCAGTTTAGCTGCACAGAGCCAGCGCACCTCTGTAGTTATAATATAATTTTGAATCAAGTCGTTCCAAGTCAAAAAAGATAAAGTGAAGCCACCTGTCATTGAAGTCGCAGGTCTTTTTTGATTTAGTCATTCATCAGATCTCTGACTTTAGTCTGACACAAGTCCATGTAATGTGATTCGGGCCACTCCTCTGCAGTTTAGCTCACATTTCTATGGCATTTGACACAAACAGTAAGTGTGGTCCACAACACTCTTTCACCATTATTTTTATGTGACCATCATAGTCATACTATATATTTAGCAGCGATAGAAGTCGATACAACATACTAGTGTTTTTACAAGTTTTACTTCAAATCCGCCTTCCTTTTTACTACAGTATAAAACTAAACATGCATATACATTCAAACTGCTGGATGTATACAGTTAAAAGAAAGCTTGCGTTTAGCATTGCCAAAGGTATTGGTCCATGGTGAAAGAGTTGTGAGCGAAGATTGATTTACAGGGTGTGCACTGAATTGGCAAGCGACGATAGTTTAACCGCGACAAACGGAATGCTCCCTGTGAGGGATTACCCAACTCCAGAAGCTGTAATTCCTCGGTGAAGATTGACGGTAACGGTAGCGTGTTTCAGTTGTGAAGCGAATTTTTGGCAGTATTTTGAAATGTCGCAAAAGAGAAATGAGCATTAAGCATGTTTCTCTCAATAAATTTGGCTACGCTAACCGTAGTTTCGTCGAGAAGTTGGCAGTATAGGCTCAACTCTGCGCATTGCTGTAGCTCGCCAGTAAACAGAGTAGAAGAGGTTGTGAATGCGGACGAGAGAAAAATCGAGAGAGGTCATATGGAATTTGTTTCAATTGGGCAATTTGATTGAATTTTTCTTTCAAGTCATCAGCTAATATCGGCCATGAGACAAATTAATGCCAGCTATTTCCACTTCCAACAGCGGAAACAGCAGTCATGCAAGTTAAATGTTTGCTAGGTCAGAGCTACTATTAAGTCTACTATGTAAAAATGACTACATATTCTGTACTCAATGCAACTTTGCATAGATTTTCAAAGTAAACTAAAATAAATGGAAACCACTGGGTGGCTGGAATGAAGGAAACGATAAAGTGTGCTTTGGAAAACTGCAGGAAAGCAGAGCCTCTGGTCTGATAAGGGTAAAGAGATGCTGACGTGAATAATGTTTTTTGTGTTCATGAAGCTGCAACTGTGACTATCTTCTTCTTAGTGTTGTCATGCGACCAACAACTGATCACGCAATGTCCTTGATGTCCCAGATAAAAAACAGAGGAATGTCCGCCATCTCTCCGTGGAAGACCTTGTCAAACATCTCGTTCTGGGCCACAGTGAAGTGACTCTTCCAGTCACCGATGGTGCCTGGTGTTCACAGTACATGAAAGGAGAAGAACAAAGGTTATGTTAAGTTATCCATCCTCACTCTGCCATGTATCATTAGTCCGGCTATTCAGTGCATTGCATATTATGCCGTCCCAGTAAAGCTCATCACTGGCAGGCTGGTGACACCGTGTGCGCATGCGTTTTCCTCAAACATCACTAATACAGCAGCAGTTCAATATTTACATATTAACAACAATGGATCAAAATACTGCTTTTATGTGAAAGGTGCAACTCTGAACTCGGGAGTTGGTGGAGAACAAAACAGATAAATGTTGGACTTACATGTGCTAAATTCGAGATGCAGACCATTAATATAGTAGCAAACAACTGTTAGATATGTAAAGATATAGTGGTGTAATGCAGTGATTCTCAACCATGGGGCCGCGGCCCACGATTGAGCCACGAGCGCCACCTAGAGGGCCGCAAAAAACTTTCAGTTTTGCAGCTGTGGGCCGCGAGGGCCGCGGGGCATAGGTTATCAATTGAAGACACCAGAGATATTACTGTTATCCATGAGACGCTCAGTTACAATATAGCTTCCCACCACCTGGTGGCGGTAATGCATCAGTCAGTTGTTTAACAAGCTCCAATAAGCAGAAGACGACACTCAGCTAGCCGCTAGCCTGTGGCAAAAGTTATGGATAAGTTTTTATAAAGAAAAAATGAAGACGACAGTGGTGCCATACACCCCCCTCCCCCAAAGTCTAAATGTGTGCGCAAGTACAATCCTGACTTTCTTAAGTACGGCTTTGTGAACGGAGGCAACGAGGCAGAGCCGAGGGCTCAGTGTGTGGAATGTGGGCTAATGCTATCACACGAAGCACTGAAGCCTTCAAAAATAAAGCGACACCTGGCGACGAAACATCCAACGCTCGTGGGAAAGCCTGTTGGGCTTCTTGTTGTGTATGCAGGTTTACATACACATGATAAATAAATGTCTGTGATCGTCACATTTATTTGACAAGGGTTTTGCCTGTTCAACTCCGCGAGGGCGTCCTCGATCCCCTCCCCTTCCGTTCCTACGGCTTGTTTGCGCAAACTACGTCACAAAACATGTCCGTGTTTGGTATCCCAGCATGCCCAAAATCCTCATCTTTGCAAAGAAATCATCGATATTCTTTAATTTTTTATGGATTTTCCACAAAAGGAGCCCAAACACACACTGTCCAAAGTCACCATAACCGCTGCAAGTCGGATCAAGACACATTACAGAACCGACAATGTGCTAGCGGATGTTACCATGGAGCTAGTGGCTTCAGAAAACGCTAGTACTTATAGTACAAACCTTATCTTCTTCTTCTATAAACCGTCAACCAACGTATAACCTTGTGTAACTGAGCTACCCGTGCGCTCGGTCGCAGCCATTACGCTCAGCAAGTCTGCTACTCACACACCACGTCCAAATATCCTTTTAGAGCTCCGCCTGGATCTCTTCATGGAAGAAACACTGTAGAATCATACTTTGTCCAATCTTCTTCAAATGTGAGGCAGGTGTTCACCGATAGTGTAGTTACATCCCTATACTGTCATTTACCTGTACAGATACAGCCACAGACAGTTATTTATACTGAAAGATACCTTTTTATTTTATGCGGACAAAAATCTTCAATTTTTACTGACTCCAAAGGCCCACTGCTCTGTTTCTCTATGACCTACAGGTTTTCTGACACTTTTGACGCATATAGTCAGAGTGGTTCAGAAGCTACAGCCATTTTAATTGGGGTGTGTCTTTTTAGGCGGTTTTGCTCCAAAATAGGGGTGGAGTTGAACAGGTAACAATACAGTTATTGAATACAAATGAAACCAAGAGTGAGATCAATTAGTTAAACTAATCGTGTTAATATTTGAATGGGCCCCGGGACACTTTGTACTTGAAAAGTTGGGCCCCGAGGTCAAAAAGGTTAAGAACCCCTGGTGTAATGTCTACCTGAGCAGAGAATGAAGTCACACTCCGACCTCCTAAAAAGTCAAAGCCAAAAAAATCTGCACAGCTGCCGCAGAAGAGCCGCCTCCCCCACCCCTTTAACCCCGCCTCCCTGGGCCCTATAGCACCACACCACATGAAGCAGAATGCCACTATGGCAAATTTGCTTCAAAGCCCTTTGGGAGCTTGGGCCCACTGGCTAGCCAACCGTCGCTGCTCACACGGCGGTTGCAGCTGATACACGGCGGCTGCAGCTGATACACGGCGGCATCACAGAAGCACTGTTGGCTCCGTCAGCACCGTTGCCGTTGTGTGCACCGTTCATGCTGTTAGCACCGTTAGCTGCTAGCTCATCTGTCATTGCTACATACTGAACATGATTTTGGAAAAACAGGGCCTGCATCTGTCTATGATCATGTTTCAAAGTTGTTGTTTTTTACTATGTTATGAATTATTCTTTGTTAAAAAAATCTGCAACTTGAGTCGACAGGTGAATTTGTCTTGGTTTTAATCATTATCAATTAGCGGTTGAGCAAAGTGAGCCACAACAGAGTTCCTGTGCACATCTGAAGCGGTAAACTCTCTTACCTTTCCTCATGAATCTTCCCTGGTGGTGGCTGAGCAGTTCACCTGGTACCTGCTCATAGTTGGCCTGTGGGATATTCTTCATGTTGTTGAAGGTGCTGTGTTTCACCACATTGGCCAGCTGCTCATCGGTCAGCTCTTTACCCAGGAACAAGGCGATCCTCTCCACTGCTGAATGCAGGTCCTGAACATAAAGCGCAGTAGCATAAATTTTTTTTTTTTTTTTTTCTTTTAAGATCCTTGTGTGTTTCAGATTGAAATGATTTCAGCTCCTACTTGAATCATCTCTTCGTAAGTGATGAACAGCATGTTAATATCATCCTTGTGCGAGTACCACGTCTTAATGTGCTCAAACCAGCTGGAACCAAACACTGCAATGAATAAGGCATAACTGTTACCACCACCACACTGCAGACAATCATCATGAGCTGCACTGCTGAGAAAATGTCACAAGCACCACTATTTTACGAGTGACGGAAGAAGAACTTGCCATCTCCTCTCATGAATTTTTCAAAGAAGTCATCGAAATCCGTTGGAGTTTCCAACATGTTTGCAACCTTATGGAAGTAGAAGTAAGACACAAGGACATCTTTGGGATTTCTTGCCACGTAGATCACCTAAAAGAGGAACAGTCTGGGTGTCAACGGTTTACAACTCTATCCTGTTTATTAGGGACAGACAGACTATGCTGTCCTCACTAAAAGTTGTTTTAGGAAATGTATTTTTCAGCTATACAGCCAGCTTGACAATATATTTTCCAGCACCGTATTCTCCAAGGAACAGGCAGGATTTAATGGAGGAAAATATGTAATTTTGTAAAAGTGAAAAAGAGCACAACAATACAAAAAGTAAGTGCCTTTTTTTGTAAGTACTAAATATTATCTCTAGTACATGAGTAGATAAAAGACTATGATCATAAACCAAAGTGGACAGGTGCTTAAAAGTATTTCAATGCAAGTAATGAAGGATGAGATAAAACAGTAAATAACATGTACACAAGCACCAATGCTTTAACCACTGATACGTATGTAGATGAGAGTAAACTAACATCAATACTGTAGTCAAACCAAATAAATATTAATGTAAACATGTTAATATAACTGTAAATAGTAGCCGATTTACGAATGAAGCCAATTTTGTGGACTTTGAGGCACAGGATTATAAGGATTATATACTGAGATGCTCATTATGAGTTCATTGGAACTTCCTGAACATCACTTCCTGTTACTCAAACAGACATTTCTGCATCCATCTCAGCTGAGAATGGAGAAATGTCTGTTTTGAGTCCTTCCCGAGGCATGTCATGGCGACAAGCCAAGGTCGATTCCCCCCACCCCTACCTCTCGCTGGCCAAAGCTACTCTTCTGAGACCTGAAATTGGCCTATCAGTGTTTATGGGACGATTTGGGTGTGTGCCATGTCCTACAGCTACAGAACAGGAAGTCACATGACCAACTGCTACAATCAACAGTGCAAAGCAGGATGAAGACAGGGCAACAAAACTGCTGGAACTAAATGATTGGGGTTTCTGTTTGTTGTCACCTTGGCCGCAAGGCTTAAGAATGATCCAACACTTTGGTCCAGAACATGCAACAACAGCTGGAGAGATTTCTATGAATTCTGCTGAACTAGCTTTAACTAGTGTTAAAGTTATAACATAACAACCGTAACCAGCAACCACCCTTACTGGACTTTCTTAGGTGATGTTATGTTTGGTTTCACACACGACATGAACAGTGGTCTCCTCTGTGAAAGTCCTGTGTTTGTTCGACCCCTTCCACCAGCTCTCATTGGACGTTCCCGCTTATTTTCTGTAGTACTTTCTATAGGTGGAGGCAGATCATTCTCGGATGATGCCTCATGTTGGCTAATACTGGCTAGCAAATTTTGTTGGCTTGTTTTTTTGTTTGTTTTTATAGTGGCTGAAGAAAATACGAGTTTCTCTGAACATGTACCGTCACAATGCGAGTGTTATTTTAAAAAGATTAACGTTAACCAACACCAGATTTGTACACACCTGATAAGAGAAACCTGGCGTGCATATCAAAGAGAAACCTTCTCAGTGAGTATGTAAAAAAAAAAAAGACACCTGGCTAGAGAGCTGACCTTGCCCTTCTGGCTCAGAGTAGAAGGCATGAACTGGAATGGCAGATGGCTGACTCTCATCCTTGGCGACGGGGCCGTGATAAACATCCGTCTGTGGCCATACACCTCGATCCAGGGGACGAGCTCAGCATTGGAGTATTTGCTGAGCTTGCTGATGGCTGTCAGATCTCCCTTTGCCTCGAGGAGCAGCAGGATCTGCTGCATCCAGATGGTCCCTGTCAAACAGAGCAGACAGGCATCATTTCCATCTCCCACACCCTGCGTGTCCAATGGCAGCAATTAGGTCAACCGTGTGTGTGAGCACACCTCTCCTGTTCTCTGTGTGGAGCTTTGTCCTGGTTTCTCTTTTCCACAAAACACATGATCATTTGATACCCTGCGCTCAGTTGAAATCAATTTGCAACACAGAAAAGAGCAGGACATTTGTGTGTACATACTAATCAGCCTTGTTCCTTCCTCTGTGCTGAGAGCTCCAAGAATCCCTCTGACCTTAAGTGCTCTTCCAATGCAGGACACTGGGAACCACTGTGTATCTAATGGAGGAGCCTCCTCCTCTGTCGCCCTGTTTACACCTGGTCCTGGGTGATCCAATCACGAGGACGGCTCCAAGTACGTAAGTTCACACCTGGCATTAGAATGCACGTCCTTTTCATTTTGCAAAGATCAAATGCGTTGGTAGGAGGCAGCAACGCACTTCCCCTGCCTAGTCTGCCGAATTTAAAAAAAGAAGAAATCAAAACAATACAGACGGGTCTAGCTATTTCTTGGTGTGATCCAGGCAAAACACACAACATTGACATAAAATATCTCTATGGGCTTTGCGAAATTTTCACCAATGTGGACAAAGCCAGCTTTGATGTAAGAACCAACTCGAGATGAGTAAGAGGAGAAAAAAATGAGACCTCTTTTCTTGTTGCGTTCTTGCCTAATTTTTTCCCCTCTTGTGGCAAAGGCATGATCCACCCTACTCTGCTTCTGATTGGCTTACCCTAAAATTCTTACCCTAACTATAACCAATCTCAGTCCTCATGCCTAAACCTAACCAACCCAACCAGCGAAGGCAACAAGTACTAGCCAATCACAGGCAGAGTAGGGCTGGTCATGACTTCACCATCCTGGGAAAATAAATAAAAAAATTGGCGTCTTGGATGAATCACACATTTAGAGTAACGCGTGAAGGGGCCGCAAGTTGTTGCGGCACTTGGTCGTGCACCCTTGAATTTTTAAAAGGCACTTGCTGCAACATGACATGATTACTGAAAAAAGCAAACAATTTAAAGTAAGAAATAAAATATTGAATAATTTCTGGTGATCTAATCGCCCAAGACGCATTTTAAAATGAAGTATAAATGGGTTTTGTGTATACAAAAGGGCTCTTCCATCTTGGTTTTCCTCTCACCTGATTTCGGGTATGTGACGACAAACACATCAGAGTCTCTGGTCTCCAAGTTGTAAATCTGGTCCACATCATCTGGATCATGAGTCCCGTTGATCAACTTGAAGCCTTTGTGTGGCACCAGGTCATGGTCATGAATCTTGACCTCATTTACGTCCATGATAGCTAAAGCAAAATAAAAGGACACGTGGTCTCCTTAACCCACTCTTATCCGTGTGTTCTGTTGGTTGTAAAGCAATTGAAAAACAACAGTGTCCAGTAAGCACATATATGTCGCCGCAATGTTTGCACAAGATTGCGACATCTATTGCCATTTTAAAGTGTCATCCATTGTGCGTCTGAATGTATTATTATTATAAAAGTGATGACAACCTAAATGTCACAACGATGTAGGTGCGATGTAATCCCGGTTCAATCTTACAACGGTTCATTTCCATTTTCCAAAACATTTCTCTGCTTGATTCTTTTTTGATTTTTAAAGTTGTTCTTATAGGTTATTAAAAGTAATGACCATGATGGCAAGTGTTTGCCCCATTTGAAATGGAACCTCAAAAATGCCATTGAATCTAACCACACACTTCATTTTCCTGAAATACAGTATGCTATATTGACCCTTCGCTGAGCCCCGCCTCCTGCTGCTACGCCGTCAGAGCTACCATGGATCCCACACTGTCACTAACTGCACTCCCTGAAGAAATTATTTGAAAAAGTGATTTCAGAGAGAAGCAGACAGAATCGTCTATAATATGCGTTTGAAGGATATGTACAGGATGTCAAACAGATTCAGCAGTGAAAAAAGGTTAAAAAGATAGAAGCTAAAGCTAAAGATCAGTGTGAAAGTAAACCATCACATCACCTGGCGATTGAGACCGAAGAAAATTAAATTAAGAAACACTGTTCCTGTAAAGCCGGGTAAGTCTTAAATCACTATTACAATCAATCAATAGAAGTGCAAATGCTAAAAAATGATGCGCTAACGTACTAATGTTAGCTCCACAGGTTTTTATGTAGAAACGCAACATTTTAGAAATGCATATCTCCTTCCAACCTCTCCGGGTAACAAGTATCGCTGTCGCGCGACGTTTAACTGAGTAGCTCCAAATCCAAAAAAACAGCCTGAAAATAAAGAAAATCTTAGAACAATTGCACGAGAGTCTATGGAGCAGAGCCGGATAGTTGTCGAGGCTACGCTATGATTGGCCAGTCTTCATTCAGGGGCAGGTTACGACTTATCTTTAAGTCTGTTATCATCTGAAATTGGGAGTATGCTGTGACACTATGCTCAAATTTATTTTCGCCAACAACACCCCAGGTGTATGTATGTGTGTGTGTATATATATATATACATACATACACATATATATACACATATATAAATATATATATATACACACACACACACACACAACACATATATATACATATACATATGTTTTTGCCGTCTCACTCCAACCATTCTCCAAATACTTTTGTTGTTAGCTTTACAGCAGTATGTGACCAGGTCTTTATTTAGCCTCAACATATTTCATTTAATAAATGGACCTGTCTCTTCTTGCAGTCACAACATTGCCTCTAATCATCACGTCTTCCATCATAATGATAAATGACACCGTACGGGTCTCCTTCACATCAATTTCTAATTTATTAATTTTACCCAGGGACAAATTTCAAATCATGCCATTTAGGAAAGGACGATATCAGACTCATGTCCTAAATTGCTAAATATCTTAATCTTTAAATGGCATTATTTTATCAATCCTATAAACCACAGCCTATGACATTCTTGACTTCTTTATGCAATACAGTTACAGGCATTGCCTTGCTGGTAATATGTATTAATACAAATAATAGCAGCACAAAACAATTGGAATATGATGGCAAAAACATAGCACTAATATTAAGAAGAAATGAACCACACCAATACTACTGGTGGGAATGGAGGTTTAAATAGTCGAATGGTGAAAAACGACCCAGTCTTGTAAATGTAAATAAACTGGATCCACTCATCATGCCTTTAATAGGTTCGGGCAAACATTCCATGGCAGCCTATAACTATAAGAACTCCACACTTCAATAATGCTTGGTACATATTCGGTGTACGACAGCTGTAAAATGTTCCAGCTCATGGAGCAGTGATGTTTAAACTGTTTCTGTTTATATATGTACACAAAGAAAGATGTCTGTGTGCTACAGAGTATAGTTGCAGATACAATGTGGACCGTTGGCTGTAGTTGATCTTCATTTAAGGGGAGACACCCTAGGTGAATTTGTTTGTATTACAATTTTCTTTTGTATTACAAATTTTATGAAAATGTATGTGTGAATATGCAAATGAGGAATATATGCAAATTTGCATACATTTCCAGAACAGAAATATTGGAATGTTGGATTCTTGTTTCATTTTGTTGACATATTAGAGGATTTTAGATATCTCTTTGTAGATTCATGAACCAGAAAATACTGTCGATACTGTCAATAGGGTCCGTGCACTAAGTGTAATTCCTTTGCCAATAGAATTATTGCCAAAAGCGCCACAGCTGCATAGATTTGTGTAGGCAATACTGTGTGTTTAAGTTATTTCACAACATTTAAACTAACTTGGACCCAAAAACTAGGGGCATGTAGACACCGTGGGTGCACAGTAAAAGTCTTATTTCCAGTTATCATCTCTAACTCATCACAAAATGCCACCTTAAACAAGAAGTGTAAAACTTCCCTTTTGTTATAAGAAAATATGAATAATATCTCCCATTATTACCACAACTGCCTAGGATTGTTATTGACCGTGTTGTCAAACAACACTGGCAGATCTTCAATGTAACAAAGTACATTTACTCAAGTACTGTAATTAAGTACAATTTTGAGATACTTGAGTTTTTTCTTGTCATGCCACTTCTACCCCACTACTTTTCAGAGGGAAATATATGTACAGAAGACATATGAAAGGTTTGACTCTATTGTATGTACTTTTACTTGAATTACTTTGAAAATAACTTACAAGTGAAAGTCCTGCATTGGATATGTTACTTAAGTAAAACAAGTATGATCAGGAAAGTTTTCAGGGAACTCTTAAGTGTGATATTAGTGTTTTTTCGGACAGGACCTGAATATGAAAAGGCGAGTTTGATCAGGATCAATTCATTGTTCATTAATTAAAAGTTGTTTAATAAAACCCAGAACCTGTTTATTAACTACAGTGTATTGACCATTTTAAACGACTATGTAGCATGAAACTTGTTGTGCTTTGACAAGCTTTGGCACATACACGCGAGGACAAATACTGAGGCCATAGAACCAGCAGTTATCATTTTTCTCTCATAAAGTTATTGAACAACTTAATTTAGCTTTTCATGTGTACAGTGTCTCTGCGTTGCCTACACTGAATCAATCAAATATCATTTCACAAGGAAGCTGCAATAATAATGATTAGTACTACTTGATAATAGATGACAAAAGAGTCTGAAATAAAGTTTTTAGATTGGAAGGAGCTGATTGGCTGGCCTGAAATCCATGTTACCAACGGGCAGCAGACACAGGTAGAAAACATCTGTAATTTGTTAAAAGTTAAGCAATTTGAAGAGTGAAAGTATGTTTTATATGTTAATACTATTGATAATAAGTATTGTAATTGTGTAATTGTGTTGTGAGCAGAAATATGTGCACCCTGTTGCTGACTGCCTTCTAAAAGTGATTTTTATGCTGTGGAAAGTCATGAAGCACTCTATACACAGCCCAGAGGATAATCCTGCAAAAGGATTTTTATTTATTTTATGTAGAATAGTTAAAAGTGCAAACACAACAGAGCCAGCAATAAAGTCAAAATTGAGGGTAAACTTTTACTTTGAAGGCGAGCTGTCTCCGTTTCAGACTCGACTTCCGTTACTCAGTTTTCATTATTAAAGTTGGATAATGGAACAAGCGGATGTTATGGTGCGCTGAATTGCATTGCACGTGTTCATTCAATGCAACAATAACACAGACAGCGTTAACCGCGTTCAGGGAGCCTCAGCTATCGAACCACGAACTCACACGTAGCAGAAGACATTTACATTAACACAAGTAGACCCGTGAGATTAGGCAATACCCCTAAACTGACATTGTTCATTATACAACGTGAACAATGGAAAATAAATTATACTTAGTGCACGGACCCAATAGCCATATTTTTTAAAAACAACACAATAAAAAATGTTTCTTGTAATACAAAGTTGTGGAAATCAGGCGAGAGAAGAGGAGGAAATCCCTCCGTAAAAACCTTCAGAATATAGATAAGAATGAAACAGGACAGTGTGGTGTAGAAGTGCTGCTGGAGTGGAGATTGAGTCTGAGAAAAAAGGAATTTTGAGAAAACGGCCTTAGATGTTGTTTTTTTTACAGGTGGTGGGGAAAAAACTAATACATCACCATCAAACTTCCCCAGTTGATTACTTTAAGATAATAATAATTATTTATTTGTTTTTGTATTACAAGTTTTCTGAAATGTTATGTTTGAATATGCAAACGAGGCATTATCTAAAGCTGACTTTTGGTATTTATTAGAAAGCTACAGAGGCAAAGAGACCTAAGTGACTATTTTGGATGTCATCTTTCCACACGTCTGAAAAGATGACGTGTTCACGCTCAAAATCTTAATTGACAGGTGCATGAAACAAAAGTGTAAAGTAACCAACGCGTTGCGTACCTGCGCTGTTCGCTCTTCAGTCCGAAGCAGAATCAACTTCGTCCAGTAGCGTTTTAATAAGATCCCCTCTCTCCGTGAACCATCGGTGCACAACTTACATCTGCACCACTTTATCGCTCTAAGTACGTGCGGGCGGTCCCGCCTCCTTCTGTTCGCTGAAAACTCGCACATTTTAAAAAAGGAAAACAACGCTGTTCGGAAAAAAAGAGAGAGCTTCCTGTTCACCTCAGCCCACCTCAGAAAAGTATGTGTCTACAGCGGGGGGGGGAGGAGAAGGAAGGAGGGAAGGAATTCCCAGCAGGTCACTTACCAGTCAGCGGCGCGTGGTTCAATGCACTAGCACTATGCTTCCCATCTGACGACCGCCATGGGAGACTGCTACGGGACAAAAACCAAAAACAAGAGTCTGCTGTTTCATAAGCAGCGCTGTTAGTGATCCAAGTAAGACAGCATGTTCTCCAAAGTACCAGGAACATAAACAAACTCGACAGAATAAACAGAGGAGAGACAGAAAAAACAAGGACGTTGGAACCGGATGCAGCAGAGGCCCCAGGACGTCCTGATTTTAAGGCCCCAGAAATAGTGCAAGTTAAAAAACAAACACTGGATCCTAAATTTCGCCCAAATGCAACTTGACTGCCCTTCATTAAAACCCTTTGTGCCTGCAAGATTGTCACATCTGTCCAACTCCACACCCCGAGTTTGTGAGTTCTGTTAAAAAAAATGTGTAAATCCAAGCTGAAATAACCCTGATGACATCACTGTGACATCACCAGGGTCATTTTCTCTGATATGACCGAGCACTTGCGGAGCCACAGAAGATATTATACAACCGCGTTCACAGGCTGAGTGCCGTAGCACTGTAGACGGCATCCTAACACTTTTAAAAAGGCTTGTTTTGTGAATGGAGTTTGGTTCGATCGGTGCTCAGAGATGCTAACAGTCTAGCTGTCATCGAGGTATAAATAAGCATGATTCTTTTTAAGTCTTTATTTGTTATATGCACAACAATTACAGTGGAGCAGTTTTTGGCCATGGAATTCTTGTTCTCAGGCTTCCTCCAACAATGCTATGCTAAGTTCCAGTTAACATCCAAATGATTAGCATATATACTCTTGAGTTATGGCCCAAAATGTGTTTTTTTGAGGCCACAGCGTCCTTGACCACTAAATTCTAATCAATTCTTCCTTGAGTCCAAGTGGATTTTTGTGCCAAGTTTAATGAAATTCTCTTAAGGTTTCCCTGAGAGAATTTGCAGAGGCAGATGTTAAAATAGGAATAAAATATAATGTATATAAAATACAATTATATATATATATATGTATATATACATATATATGAAATCCTGTTGGCCTGTGTGTCTTCTGATCCCAGAGGAACCTGAAGCCGCTGACTCTGTCCACTTGATTGCCAATTAGGATTTTGACACTTTAAGATATGTCAAAAGGAAACTAAATATCGACAATCAGATCAAAGTTCAGTTTAATTATAAAACACTAAAGTATTCGTCCCCTTCAAGTCAGTAGAAGCACGTCTGGACATTTTCCTACATTCCTCTTTAGAAAACTACTCAATCTCTCTCCAGCTGGAGACTGTGAGGGAACAACAATTTATGTCAAGTCCAAATACACAGTCTGGACTGGACTTCATGTCCACAAACCTCCCACACGACTGTCAGAGCTGACAGTAGGGGTCTGTTCATTTTTACCACTTGTTCTATTCAGATTTACAGCTGTGACTGTTTGCCCATTTCTATGACTGACCTTTTTTCCCTGAGGACACTTGTCTTGTGTCGCTCCCTTGATAGTTTTCAGTAAAGATGCTTGTCTCCCTTGTAATGCCACATTTCTACTTAGTATATATTTCTACTCAGTATATTGTGTAAATGCCTAAGTGCTTGTACTTGTGCTCTGAACTCAGTACACCTTCACCCTTTGTGTTAGCGTACATGCTCAAATGTATCTTGCTGTTTTTTTAATGGAAATTATATCCTTATGAGTATTTCATTATCTTTTAAATAGAACTGTTTTTGAAACAGGCTATCATAAGCTTGCATCATGTAACTTGTGATCTGTGCAGCAGCTGACTGCCTGCACACATATCCTCTTCTTCTCTGTGTTGGATAACAATTCTTGTATATTCACATGTTCTATGCCTTAAGGATAAAACGTATATATCTGTGTGTCTGTTGTTACACAGATAAAGCACTTCTTTAAATGCTGTGGCCTGCTTGTCATGAAACAGGATGTTCCAGTACACAGGCCCCCAACCCTTGACCACTCTTCTTGCAAGAATAAATACTTTTAAAGACAAGTTCTGTTTAACGACATTCTATATTTCAGCTTAAAAAGACTCAACAGCGGGTAAAATCATTTTCCACCACACCCTTTTCTGTCACCAGGAACTGATTTTTTTTGGTGGTTTGGACAGACAAAAATATCCATTCGTATTTAAACTCCATTTATCAAAACTAACAGTCCTAATGAGCAAATGATAGTGAAGACTGTGAGAAACTGAATTTTTTGTGAACCCTTTATCTCTACACAGGAAGTGGGTCCCCTTCATGGAGCCCGCCATCTTTCTACAGCAGCCCAGAACGGACAAACCAAACACTGGCTGTAGAGAGCCTGATGAAGGCCACCGTAGTTCTCCAACACGCTTGTGAAATTGCGGTAATGTGAGCAGCATAGTGCAAAAATTGGGTATCACCAGCCGCCGTCTGACTTCCGTTGCTCCTTAAGTTGTGTCATTATGGTAAAGATGGCCTCTAAGCGAACGGCGATACTACAGTTTTGCACCCGGCGGTTCACATGATCGCTGTCTTGTAATAGGGGAGAGCGTAGCTATTCACTTGGTTGCAATCTGCAACCACTGCACTAGATGCCACTAAATTCTATACTGGCTTTTTAAACACAGCTCGTATTGTCTTCTTGATGGTTTTGCCAGAAATTTGACAAACCAGCAAGGTCTCCCACTTAGTACATGACAGCCTAAATAACAGATACAGAGCGCAACGCGTCACATTCTGAAAACCAAGGCCACCCGTAGGGGAAAACAAAAGGTGCCACAATATGCAACAAAGGGCTGAAACTCTAACAAAATGCCTGTAGCTAGCTAACAAGTTAGATGTCAGCATGTCAAAGGACTATTTTAGCATCCTATGTCTTCCAGGGTTGCAGTTAACTAAAATGATGATGGGACAAGTTAGCCGTTAGCGAGCTAATGTTAGCTATGTATGTGTTAGCAAATAACTGTAGTTAGCTATATGATGATACTTATAAGCATAATACTGCATAGCTTACTGGTGTATGCACATTTCACTATTCCACGGATTCCACACAAGTTGCATACTATAGAAATGCTTTAGTTTAACTTACATAAATATAGTTAGCCTAATCTGGACAAAATGCTAGCTGTACATGTAACGTTAGGGATACTGCCTCTCAGGATCCCCCAGTTTTCCCATTGCCTGTATCCTCAGTTCTTTTGGTTCTGCAGCTTTTACGAACTTAGTTGTGGGTTCTTTACCCTGTTGGTGGTACATACTACCACAGAGCAGCTTTTAGGCATTTTTCTCTTGGTCACCAACAGACGAAAGAGATAGGAAGAATTATTTTCCCCTCATATTCATGTTCTATTTTTTTTTTTTACAATTGTAATAATTTCTTTATGATGTTACTTGAGGTGGTATGTACTTTAGAGGTGGTGGCTGGTTCTCTATAAAACACTACTAGAAAACACTGACCAGCTGTCTGACCACCTGCTGTATTTGACCTAAAGTCACTCACCACACCTTGGTTAAACACACGGATGACCCCGTCTGGATTCTCATGTGACTTCTACAAACAGATGGCTGCTGAATGATGATTTAGGTGTGTCACATGATAATGGGTGAATCACTTATGCAATCAAATATTTGAGGTTTTATGTTTGTCCTTTGTGAGATTCTCAGATGGACTCTGTGTTTTCTTGTTGTGCAGCGTTCTTTTAAGGACAGCCAGGTTTGTTCTGCTCCATTTCCTCTCAACCATTAACTGCTAAGTGTAAATGACTGGACAGCACGGAGTAGCACAGAGTTTATTAAAAAACTAAAATTTAAAAAAGTGTATATTATATAATTTATTAGCGAATGACAACATTAAATAGTTCCTGAAGTGCAGAAATCAAATGCATGTTCACAGTAGAAACAAACGAGATGGAGGAGATGAAGTGCGATCCTATTCACGGGATCCGTTCAGCACATAATGTCCTGGAGTTCAAGATGCTAATCTGTAAAAACAAAGTGTGTTGAGAAACGGATTAAGAGCGTTTCATTTGACACTGATTCATCGTGTGCACATCAAACTTGTCATTCAACGACTGTAAAGAGCTCCAGACGAGGGCCACAAGCAAACCAGTTTTTGATTAATTTTGATGATAGTTTGAATCATGTTCAGTCACATTTAGTTCTAAACCGCAACTGGACTGTCATCTTATCTTATAAAGCCACTCTCACACCTACATGCACACGCACACACATCTGTTCCACCACGACACCTCACCTGTTTCTCCTCAGCAGACATCACACCGTGCACTGCCACCACCTGGTACTGTTTGTGCTTCAGGCTGCCGGCGAACTTCCTGACCTGGCGGACGGCCGGTGAGACGGTGTCCCTGCTTAGCAGCCTCCTGGTGTCCGACGCTGAGATGCCGGGATCCAGAAGCAGTAGGCACAGGCTCCCGTTCTTCTTCTGCTCCATGCCCACTATAGAGCGGCTGTGACCTGCAGGAGGACATGGGTAAAAGTGTTTGTGAAAAGTCGGGAGTCATTCTTTCTTCTTTCTCCATTGACTATTGTACACCCGTAGCCAAACGTTTTGAGAATGAAGTATTGGTTTTCACAAAGTTTGCTGCTTCTTTTTGTACGATGTCACTATGGTATAATTACAAGTGCCAAAGGCTGTTATTGACAATTATATTAAGTTTATGCAAAGGGTCAATATTTGCAGTGTTGACGAGAAGTTGCTCTCGGAGGATGTTTTGGTACCATTCTTTATTCAGGGCTGTGTTCTGAGGCTACATTGTGAGTGAGCCCTCTCCCTTGGCTGAGAAGCAACCCCACACATGAATGGTCTCAGGATGCTTTACTGTTGGCATGACACAGGACTGATGGTAGCGCTCACCTTTTCTTCTCCAGACAAGCTTTTTTTCCGGATGCCCCAAACAATCGGAAAGGAGATTCATCAGAGAAAATGACTTTACCCCTGATGTTCTGCACATCAGGGGCAGAACATCAGTCTGTCCCTGATGTTTTTCCTGGAGAGAAGTGGCTTCTTTGCTGCCCTTCTTGACACCAGGCCATCCTCCAAAAGTCTTCTTCACAACAATTGAACCTCTCTCCTTGAAGTCCTTGATGATCCGATAAATGGTTGATTTAGGTGCAATCTTACTAGCAATTAATCTGATCACTCTTCATAACATTCTGCATATGCAAATTGCCATCATAAAAACTGAGGCAGCAGACTTTGTGAAAATTAATATTTGTGTCATTCTCAAAACTTTTGGCCACGGGTGTACATATTTATTTCTAAGTAAAGTACTATGGTGGACACTGGGAGGGGCGGGACTTCGCTTCTCTATTTAATAGACCTTAGAAGACGGCGAGTGTCACCAGCAAAACGCCATAAACAAACCTCCTAAATGCCAAGGAGGAATTGTAATCAACCCTCTGAACCCTAAGCAGCTTCATGGTGCGTTTTTCGCTCCTGTCATATTTTTCTCTCTGTGGCCTTGATTTTCTCTGCAATATAAAAGTCCTGCACCTCTGATGAAACAGCACAACCACAGCTAGAGGTAGAGAGAACTCAAACATGTCTTTAGTGCAGTATGACAGTTACAATGCCATAAATCATAAAAAAGAAAAAAAACACAAGTTGAATTCCTTTGATAATTTATTTTGTAAAAATTGCAAAACAATGGAATCTATATATCCAACAGTTTTCCAAGTTGCCAGAAGTGTTACCAATGTTGGAAAAATAATGGAGGCTCCAAGGGCTACAAGTATTGAATGTGTTCAGCAGCCTGCTGTTCTGTCCAAGTTTCACAGAATTGTTGTCACGTGACTGTTGGTCTCAGCCACATCATTCATGGCTTTCTAGCTGCGCTGAGGAGCGCAGAATAAAAACAATGTCAGGATCTGTTTAGAGTAAACTCTTTATTTGGAGCAAAATTTGAAACGAGACCATTTTAAGCTTAGTTTCGGTTGCGTTTCTTGACACATGAAGTGTTCAAGGACCATCAGAAAGATGGAAATTCTGGCTATGCTAAACAGTGTAGTTTTGTCTGTTGTAATTTTATTAATCTACTGTAACTTTTTGGTTGATTAGACAATTTAAAAAAAAAAAAATTCTCTAAACATGAATCTGTCCATTATTTTAATAGTTCAGTATTGTATGAAATATAACAGGTATGTTTGTGCATATAGTAGCACTAATAGGCCGGCACTCATTTTCGTTTCCACATTTATGTTTAAAATTAAAACATCAATTTGAATAGCTTGTGTGCATGATTATCATGCAATTGACAGACAATGTTGATATTGGCATTGGTATCAGCTGACAAGGTATGTTTATAAATGGCAGTGGCACGGCCACCCTACTCACTGTACCGTGCACATGTTTAAAATAAAAACATGAATATATGAACCTGTGTATTATTTGAATAGCTTAGTATTGAATGCACAATAAAGAGGTATACACGGTACTAGGCCTATTTAATATAAAACACAATTTTATACAATATATATAGCCGGGGGTCCCTGCTCCATCTCTCTATCAGTTTCGGAGTCCTTGGCCTGAAAAACGTTGAAGACCCCTGGTTTAAAGGAAACATGCTTTTCCATCCCGCTGGTGGGTTTTGGGGTTCAGAGGGTTCACTGCAAACTCATATCTCATATTCATGTATTACTAAATTGCCTTTATACATGCCCTGCTAAGAAAGAATTCAAGTATTAAAAGTATTATAATGAAACAAAGGTTGAGTATCCTATAAACAGTTTCATTTAGCTGGCAAAATATATACTCAAATGTAATTATTAAGACCTCTTGTTTCTAAAGCATTTAAAAACAAATTGTTGGTCTTTGTGAAATCCTCAGATATGTTAATACTGGGTTTTTTTTTTGAGGGAATTTTTTGTGACAAATACAGGCGGTGTCTGTATCTGCAGAGACCCTGCCCTCTGCCTGTATCTTCTCTTTTCTTTTTGATTGGTGTTCGGGACTCTTCTGGGGCATCAGCATAGAGGATTTGGACCCCATATGGGAGTGCAACCCCCAGCCAATAAACAGGATGTGCAGCCCGTTCTCATTCCCAGGTCAAAGACCGGCTCATGGTATGTGTCACTCTTTAGCGTCTGAATCAAAGCGGGCGGAGAACGAGGTTGTTACATCGCCGCGTGTGTTTACAGGCTTCCGTGCTCATGTGTTTGCCCCTTCGGTCTCTCTGCTGTGTGGCGCTATATATCGGTGTGTCAGCAACTGAGCTGAGAGACACAGACCGGCACAGTGTGAGCAGACAGGAATGTGCAGCAATGCGATTTCAGAAACATCAGTGAAAACAGAAAACCCAAACTCTGTTTTCACGCTGAGGGATTAGAGAAACTTGCGTAACACAAACCTGATTACCAGAACAATGAAGTTTTTCTGAAAACATGTTACTGGATGAACAAGTGTTTGGAAGAGCGCTAGGACAGACCGTTTTACTGTGGCAGCAGTGTAGAGGGGGAGAGGGTCACTCGATAACTAGTAGCTTTGCATCAGCATGCCCGGAATTATTCCATCTCAGTCTGCATTAAAAGAGCACAAACTCAAAGTACGACGACTGAAAGAAAATCTAATTCAAATAATTGTCAAAATTGAAGCAGCGGAGGCCGAGACATCTGGCTTTTACTCCCTGGATTGAACAAATCCCAAAAATGCAACTCAATAGGATCTTTTCCATCGACACTCTTGGCCTCGTAAGCCCTCATTTCTTTTAAACTCCACACCTCCGGTTTGTAAAACAATCTCAACTCAGCATCAACATCCACAGTTCCATGAGAACCAAGCAAAGCACACTGTGGGATATGATCAAAAGGTCCAGGACAAGCAAATGAATGGACTTTGAGTTTGGATTATTTTGTCACACTATGCAATAGTTTTCACAGGCTGAGTAGTTCTCCTTATTACCCTTATTATCTCCTTGCCTATGTGTAAAGTCTCAAGTTCTCCTTTAATGCCTCACGATATCACATTTCGCCAGTTACATCATAAGTAATTGAAATGAGGAAGCAGGATTACCTTGTTATGTCAATAACATTCCAGAGTAAAAGCCAGAACTCCTCCAATCTGAGTAAAGTCAAAAAATACAGTTCTAGCTATTTATGGAATAAACTGGACATGTAAGTAAGCTAGAGTGACCGACAGACCAACAATACCATCTCAACAGTAGTGCATACTGCACCTTGTGTTACGTCAGTCAACCTGAACATTGAAACCTGCAATTAGCTCGGTTACAACACTTGTAACCGAGTAATAAAGTTTAATGCTCTTCTACGTTTAGACTTCCAAAAACGCTTTACAATTTAGGTAATGTTATGAGCGGATCATGAAAAAGCCATTTGGGGTGAATGTTAGCCTCGAGGGAGTCAGATCAGTCTCATAACAGCCGTCGATGTGATGTCACGCCAAGATAGTTCCAGGGCGGCTACAGAGACATTTGACAGCAGTCAACCGTACAGGAGGACAGATACTAATCCCAACAACAATAGTGCACCCAGATCACATTGCAGAACAAGGACAAGACTTGATGTGCTTTGAGTAAACAGTGTGGTTGTAGACACGCCCCGAGCTTAATGAATGTGAAGTGTGTGCCTATATCTATCTATCCATTAATATATCAAAATATTGTGACAGAACACTATTTATGAATGCACGCAGAAGGATTCACTAATGTATTTGGGGATATATATAAATGACTCCGGCCCGAGAACATTATCCAATCAAAGAAGCATGTACATGCAAATGTATTAAGACCTCACCGATCCCGTACAGCTATATAGTGTGCGATGAAGGAATATAGCAGGTGATGTTGCTGTGTACCTTGGTGCTGCAGGTAAAGCGGGGGCAGGGAAGTGTGGATGAGTCTGGGGGGCAGCCGGCTGCTCCTGCCGGACTTGAAGTACTGCTTCACCCATTCAAACAGCCGGGGGTGGGTGTCACCTGGGCCGGTTGGCTTGTGGAAGTCAATGATGCGGGCACTGAAAACATACAATACAAGCCTCAGTGTTACATTGAGCTGATAACTTCATGAAGATTTTCACTAAACTACAACTAAAATGTGACCAGAATGAGATTCTGGAGCGGTCACTGAATGGATTAAGAGTTGGCCAAAAAGGAGCTGCAGCACCTCCGGGGCCCCCTCCTGGAGCCAAATCTTGGAGGGAAACTCGCTGAAGAGCATCTGGCGGCCGTGCCTTGGTCGGTCGGCCACAGCATGAAAGAACATCAGGGAGCAGCTGTGTGAACAGACCTGGTAAACCCAAACGTGTAGTGAGGGAGAACTGGGAAAACCTGGCCGAGGCCCTTGTCCACAAGGTCTTTAACTCCCACCTCCACAATAATGTTTCTCATGGGGGAGGTTGGGGATGTGGAATCTGAGTAGGCCATTTTCCAAGCATCCATTGTGAAAGCAGATACAAGGAATTGTCATCAGAAGGTTGTCTGTGCCTGAGCTTGACAGACTCTGAGGCCTTTCGGGCTTGGTTGGCCGAGGGGTCTCCGAAAGCAGCAGACAGGCATCAGAAGAGCAGGAGGCCAGAAGGAACGCTGCTTCAGAGGTAACCAAAGCAAAAAGTGTGGGAGGAGTTTGGGGAGGGTATGGAGAAGGACTTTTGGTTGGCCGCAAGGAAGATCTGGCAAACCGTCAACACGACTCTGGAAGGGAAAGCAGGGCTTTGCTCTGGCTGTATTCAGCAGGGGAGGAGAACTGCTGACCCTGACTGGGGATTTGATCATTTAGTGAGAAGAGCACTTTCAGGAACTCTTAAACCCAAGCAACACATCCTCTGTGGAGGACCCAGAGTTTGCAGGAGCATGGGGTACCGGGGTTGTTGCTACGAGCCATCCGGTCCTTATATAACCAGAGCGAGAGCCGTGTCCGTATTACCGGCAGGAAGTCTAACGTGCTCTCAATGGGTGTTGGGCTCCGTCAGGTTTGTCCCTTGTCATAGCTTCTGTTTTTGATTTTCATGGATAGAATCTCAAGTCACAGTCGGGGGCAGGAGGAGATTGTCTGGCGGTGGGGGGGGGGCCTTGCTTCTCTGGGTGCGATTCTGTTGGCTTCATCAGACCGTGACCTTCGGTACGCACTGAGGCGGTTTGAGACGGATGAGAATCAGCAAAAGTCTGAGGCCATTGTTCTCTGCTAGAGAATAAGCGATTGCTTCCTCCGGGTTGGGAGCGAGTTGCTGTATCTGGGGGTCTTGCTCTGGATAAAAATAGAGTGTGCAGTGTCTGTCGTGGTCAACAGGGACCTGGGCCAGAGGTCAAAGCTTTTGAACTGCCAACTATGGTCATGAGAGAGTGAGAGTGAAAGAGAGAGTGAGAGAACTCTATTAATCCCTGCAGGACATTTTAACTGTTACAGCAGCTTAGAGCCGAGAACACAAAGATAAGAAGCAAAAGACATAAACTGCTTATCGAATGATGAGCAAAAAACAACAACTACTCTACATATATACATGTGTGAGGTGCAAAATTGAAAACGATAAGTTGTAGTGTAGTTATGGATCAGTTAATCTTAAGAGCATGACGGTGTATGAGTCCAGGGTGAGAATGTTCACCTCCTGATCTCCCTGTCCTGAAACTGAGGTCCAGTCAGTTAAGGAGCTTAGATATCTGTAGGGAGCTTGGAAAAGAGCCGCCAGTTGAGGTGGTTTGTGCATCTGATCAGAATGCCCTCCCATTTATGTTGCATGATGGATCCTGAGGTTATGTGCTTGACACTAATTAGTGTCACGCTCACCTGATTCCCAGAGAGGTGAGGAGGGCGTAGATCTCTGTGGCTCCGATCCAGGCTCTTGTTCCCTGCAGCCGCTGGTTGAAGTGGGACGCACCATGCGGATCCAGCCCTGCTCTCCAGGCCTCCTCGATCATACTCTGCACCCGAGGGATGCTAGGCACGGCCTTCTCTGGAGGAGGAGGAGAGCGTCCAGTAAATGGAATGAATGGGTACAGGTAAAAAGTTGTTACTGGTTTTTTAATATAAGTTTATCTGCTATACATTTCTATTATTACACATGGCTAACTGTGACAACCGTCGATGTGATGTCACACCAAAATAGTTCCGGGACGGCTACAGTGACACTTGACAGCAGTCATTGCTGTTGTCTTGCACCCACTGTCAACAACCGTACAGGAGGACAGATACTCATCCCAACAACAATAGTGCACCAGATCAGAATGCAGAACAAGGACAAGACGTGATGTGCTTTGAGTAAACAGTGTGGTTGTAGACACGCCCCGAGCTTAATGAATGTGAAGTGCTTCATCATGCTTCTACCGAGACCGCTTACCAAAGGGGAAATAAAGAGAGTTTGTCTTTAAATTGTTATGTTCCGAGAAAGCACTTCAGCATAAAAAACAAATCATAAAAATAAAGGCAGGTCAAAACTGATGATGCAATCTGCAGCTTGAATGAGTTCACCATTGGATTCTGGCTCTGTTGGAAGAACTCCGCAACTACCACGCCGTATTTAGTTTCCAACTGCAACAAGGAAGCGTTCTGAATTGGCTACAGCTCGGATTCACGCTGGTAGGCAGAGACGAGAGAACGACTCGTGTTTTCGTTTCATCCTCCACACAGACGGGGGGGGGGGGCTGTGTGGAGGACAAAGAGCCGCCAGTTGAGGTGGTTTGTGCATCTGATCAGAATGCCCTCCCATTTATGTTGCATGATGGATCCTGAGGTTATGTGCGTGACACCAATTGATGGCTGTGTGGAGGACACAGGACACAGTCCTCCACACAGCCATCAATTGTTTTGCTTAAATTGGTGGCTGTGGTGGTCAGGATTCAGGTGGCGAACAAACTCGATTCATGGCTCTTCGCACATTACTCAATCCATCCATTAATATATCAAAATATTGTGACAGAACTACCCTCAATTCTCAGATATTTACCTCAACCTCACAAAGAATCAGCAATTTATTTGAAACAAGCACATATAGTAGTGCTGATTTAAGGTCAGATATTATGCAGTGGGATTGTGCACCTTGTAGTAGGGGAGCATATGCATCCGTTGTGTGTAGAGAGGAGAGGAGCATCTGGAGGTTTCTGTATCCACAGCCCCAGCCTTTATCCCCCGCTGAGGAGCAGTAGTGGTCGGTGTCAGCACTCAGCCACACGTGCACAGAGTCCTTGCATTCGGTCTGGTAATATTCATACAAAGCTCGGACCACACCTAGACAGAGAAGAAACAAGTTCAGCTCAGTACATTCCAGCAGTGTTACGGACACACAGCTAAACCAGCAGCCATCACATCTCACTGATCAACATGCATCAAAGGTGCCGACAGCTAAATCATGTATCAGTGAATCATTGTCCAGGTCATAAATGGAAGGGGACAGGTCTGGGTTTTTTCTTTCTTTCTTTAATTCAACCAAAACTACTCCTTATACTGTCCTATACCATAGTGACACCGATAGTTGATATACTTTGATTTATGTATATATTTATTCATATGTTTACCAGGGACAGTGCACATTAATGAACGTTTAAGTTTCCACCTCAATGTAAATGTGCTCATTTTGGTCTCATAATGGTAAATTCTTACTTAGTATATATTTCTTACTTAGTATAGATATTTCTACGTAGTATGGTATACATAGTAAAGTATATTTCTACTTCTACAAAAGAAGAATTCACCCTTGCCTGCACGCAAAGATAACTGTAACTGTGTTGTATGAGAATGTTGCAGCCGCTTGTTGTTTTCAGTTTGAGAGTAAAATGTCCGTAACATTGGCCATCGGCCCCACACTTTGCACTTCTTCTGTATGAAGAAAGCACGTTCACTTTATACTTGGTTCTTCCTCACTGAGACTGAACGCATTCTGTTGTGGAGATTGAACCTTCTCTGCGCAGAGAATTCATATTTGAAAGACAACCTCTGGTTTTTGTATTCTGTATTTCAGCATTAAAAGACTCGCTCAAAGCAGGTATGGGATGTTTCCACCTTAGTCTGTAGTCCCTGGGCAGGTTATTACAAACTGGTGGCCTAATATAATCAATGCAATGCTACGGCAAGCACTATTGTACAGCACAATGCAACAATAAAAAAATACAAATACCATGCAAACGTAGCAGACATGTAGAAACAATGAGAGCAACGGCAGTGCCAGAGATGAGGTGGTGGGACTACTCGTGATTGCAGGTTTGGTTTGCTTTTGGAAGAGCCGAGAGTGATGCCAATTAAAATGTAGTTCCTTGATCATTGAATTACTAGGGTGTTATTGATTAGCACTGAAAAACAAGGAACAAAAAAATAATATTAATGTAACTGGAAGAAAAATGGATCTTTGTCTCAAGATCAGCTTGCTGTACATGCAGAGGGCCAGTCATACACGATGTTCCAATATGTCCTGAGTACATGCAGATGTTAGGGATTTCAGGGGTGCTAGTGCACGTGCATTATAACCACGTGCACACACACTCTATTCCACCACAGAGTAGGAGAGACCAACGAAGTAAAAATAGAACTTAAATAAGATCGGATTATTAAAATAACGCTGAGGCATAAAAATGAATACCGATAATCAGCAACAATGACAACAAAAATAATAATGAGTGGTAGTGAGAGCTTAATCTGATCTAATGGTTTTGAATTAGGCTCAATTGACTTTCCCGAAAGGTTTCTCTTCACGGAGGCTTGCGAGGCAGGACTGGGTGAGGCTCGTGTGTGAACTGTCTCCGTTGTTTATATGTACCCAGGTGGTACGTCGGGGCTTTCTCCACGGGCTCAATATCAGGCCAAGTGGGTGAGTCAAAAAGAGAGGGCTTGGCCTCCGCCCCTCTTCCCCTCCCCACAGACCCCCCCGGGACCTCAAAACTCACAGGACTCCTTAAGTCAGGGACAGGATACCGTGAGCCTGGGCTAAAGATGTGTAGGGGAACAAAGGCAACAGTGCTGACAGAGATAACAGTGTTTACCATAAGGGGAACCGGAGGGTGGGTGCTACGCTTCAATGCTGTTGGTCGGGACGGCGTTAAAAGCAGTAACCGCCGCATGAGCGCAGTGCAGAGAGGCGGGGATTAGCTAGCCGGCACAACAGAGAGACTCAAATGCATTAACATGCACGCATGGCCAGCCCTGCTACGTAAATGGACGTTCACATGTAGTGCCTTTTATGTCTTCCTGCCACTCAAAGTGCTGTACACACACACCTTTGTACGTTGATAGCAGGGCAGACAACAGGATATTGATAGTGTAACCACACGGATCTTCCTCTCACATGTGATTAGGCGGGTTAATATACACACACACACACACACACACACACACACACGTGTATGTGTGGCATGTATTTTAGTAGCCTATTCCACAACCAGACAATAACAGATTAACTAAAAGAACATTTTGTGAACGTTGAGGGAATGCTGAAGAACTGGTTCAGGATAAGGACTGAAAAAGGGAGTTGACATGCAAGAGCATGAACAACAGTCCAGATGTATTCATTTATTCATCGATGTTACCACTCCTTTTTTAGCAATTATTTTTAACAATTCAAAAATTTGAGGTTTTGATTATGCATTTCCCTTGCAAACACTGCAGTACGAAACTCATTAACTGTTAGCACCCATGAGAATGTCCATCTACTCTTAATTCCAAACTCTGCATCGGATATTCAATCTGGAGTCCTCCAAGGCTCAATTTTAGGTCCTACTCTCTTCTCTCTTAATTTCAACCAAAAGGTTCCAGGAAATATGCAACCAAAGGAATTATACCAAAGGACCCAGAGAAGAAGCGGAAAGTCTCTTTTGTGCATTCCCCTTTGCAGTCCACAGTGGTTGGGAATAGCTGCTGTGTTACTGTAACAAATGTCAGAGTTGCCTAAACCTACAGGAACTTTGGTGTATCCCTTTAAACCAGTGACTCTCAACTGGGGGGTCGCGGGCCTTTGCCTGAAATTTTTTTTTTTTTAAATCCTGTGCTATTATTTTAAAGGGAATTTTTTATGCAGCGGAGTGTCATCTATTCACACTCCTTAACGATATTTGGCGTTAATGCCTTGTAATGCTCATATCAGCAGAGGATAAACTGAAAACTATACCTCTGTCAAATGACACTATAAGTAGACGAATTGAAGACATGTCGGATGACATCAAACAACAGACCACAGCTCGAATTAAGGCAAGTGGTCATTTTGCATTACAAATGGACCAATCTACAGACATAAAAAACAAAGCAGTTTTACTCGTTTAGGTGAAACGTGTGGGACGGGGACTTACAGGAACAATTTCTCTGCACAAGAGAGCTCCCTATACTACGACTGCAGAGGACATTTTCAGCTCAGATTCAAACTGCACCATCTTTACATTAAATACATTTCAGAAGTTGAAAATGTTCCTCGATTCGGGTCACGGCTTGTCATTAAGGGGTGATGGTGGGTCCCGCAGCCAAACCAGTTGAGAACCACTGCTTTACACCAGCAGTGTTGTCTCTGTGTGCTTTTGCAGAATTGTGGTTCAAGGATGCGAACAAACATACCTTGAGTTCTGGTTCTGCCATCATCAACCCCTGAGGCCAGAGACTCCATCATCTCGGCCCTCTTACAGTGGAACTCTGCAGGGGCCATAAGACCCTTGGCCACATCCCTCTCCATGGTCCTCTCCATCTGTCTGCTGTAGCCCCCGCTGCCGTCCAGACCAAACTGCCTCTGCACAAACAACATATCACACAGTGGTTATACATATATATATATATACATATACATATACATATATATATATATACACATATACATATATATATATATATATATATA